ACCAGCAACAGTTACCACTTCATCATTTTCAAATCGAAATATTCCGAAAACGGAACACAGTATCAAGTTTTACCAAGAGTATCTTTTAGGTGTGGAATTGAATGATGTTCAAGTTCACATCAAATTTGGATTGAAAAATCTAACCTCAAAAAAGTTATGTTCAAACTTACTTGGTACGAACCCTGTAACTACCGCCCTCTATGAGAATCAGATATAAAAACAAATTCATGTGATGTGTCAGATTTCAAGAAACATTCATACAAAATTTAATTTCAATGTTGCCAGTAGTTTCGACACACTCGTGAAAAATCTGTAAAAATATAAATTTTTCAACACCTTGTATCAAGAAAACGAATGCCGTTACGACATTTTTTCACTGAGCAAACCCAACTCATTTTGCAGTGATCTACCTACCCTAGCAAGGGGGGTTAGGTTTTTTTGAAACACCCTGTATATGTGGCATAAAAATAAAGTATCCAGTACCTACTTTACGAACGCATATACAGTGTCATTCATAAAGTCGGCATCATATGGGAAAAACTTTTATTGATGACTTATTTTGAAATTCGAGTTGGAAGTTAAGTTTTGCATCAAAAAAGACGAAAAATGGCCTACTCAATCGGGGTCACGTGACTTTCGCTACATGTCAAAAGTGATATTTTTTCTAATTAATCGCTGAAAGTAGGCTTATTTGTTCGAATATCGAAAAAGTTTACTTGAAAAAGTTGTTTCTATTTCAATTTTACACATGCTTCCCGAATTTGAACTTTCTATTGCAACTTTTAGATTTTGTTTTTTTTTTTAATTTTTAGAAATTTCTGTAATATTCGAAAAATTGTTAATTCCACGAAACTACTTCATACCAGTAGATTTTTCATGCTACTTATTTTCAATTACTCATTATGACTGATTATGGACAGAAATATGATTTTCTTCAGAAAATGATAATACCCGCTTCCAAATTCTGTTATGTTTGATGCAAAGTTGATATACCGTCAAGCAATTAGAAACGAAATTCATTTAAACTGATCTTTTCAGTACTGAAAAAATAAATTTGAATGAATTTCGTTTCTAAATGCTTGACTAAAACATAACAGAGTTTTGATATTATGTTTGGATCAAACATAAGAGAATTTTGAAGAGGAGATTATCATTTCCTGAAGAAAATCATATTTTTGTCGATAATTAGTGATAATTAGTAATTGAAAATTATTAACATGATGAAGCTACTGGTATGAAGTAGTTTTATCGAATTTACAATTTTTTTAATATTACAGAAATTTCTAAATTTTTTATAAAATATCGAAATCTAAAAAATGTAATAGAAAGATAAAATCCGAGTCACATATGTAAAATTCAAATAGAAACAACTATTTCAAGTAAACTTTTTCGATATTCGAACAAATAAGCCTACTTTCAGCGATTAATTTGAAAAAATGTCACTTTTGACATGTAGCGAAAGTCACGTGACCCCGATTGAGTAGGCCATTTTTCATCTTTTTCGAAGCAAAACCTAACGTCCAACTCGAATTTCAAAATAAGTCATCAATAAAAGTTTTTCCCATATGATGCCGACTTTATGAATGACACCGTATAATTGAACAATTGCAAGATACCCATCACGTGTTAAATATCTCCATATTCAAATAAAAAGAACACTCACCATTTTGAAATAGATCAACGTGCATCGCCATTTCAGCCACGAAAAAAACATACACTTTTACACAGACACACCTTTTTCACACACAAAAAAACATACACTTTTACACAGACACACCTTTTTCACACACACAAATGATGCAGTATGAAGCATTTCGATTCGGCACTGTGAAATAATACATATTTTTCTTCAACCAATTTAATCGTCCGTACGCGATGAAATCTAATATACGACTGACGAATGACAGGTGGCTTACTGATTCATCATCCTGATTACTAATCAGTTACGTCACTCTTCTAACCGATTCCTGAACAATAAAATTTTATCTATGACTGAATTCGATACGGGAAAATAGTTCTACAGGGGGTGAAAATAAATTGAATGTGTTCATGCAATAAAAAAACAGAAATTATCTTTAGTATAAATCGAGTATACAAGGTGAATCTGAAAGTGAGGTTTCTTTAACAGGATATATAGGGTGTATCTAAATAACACCTAAGAATCCTAACTTGCTCCGTTTTTGAGATACAGGATGTTGTAGTTGGAAGTATTAATTGTTTTTATTTACAACCTCCCCGTATAAGCTTTTATGGTGCCTAAATTCAGTATGTATGGAGACTGAGAAAACCCCAGAATTGCATATTGATTCTATTTGGGGTTATTGAGTAATCTCATTGGAAGTCTTGAAAACACCTAAAATAAAATTTGGAACCAAATCGCGAATTTTCATTGTTTCCTAGAAAAATCACACAAAGGATGAAAATGTTGTTATTTCATTAGTTCAATCTGATAAAAATATGAAACTCAGAAAAACCGGTGTTCTACAATGACATTCACCATGAATATTGATAAATGTACCCACTGTAACGCCACTGGAAATATTATTTCGAATATAATTGCACTAGAAGAAGCTCCATATTTCTATCAACAAAACCACAACGTTTTATCGAAATTGAGAAATGAATAGAAAAAAGGTTTTTTCATGGAAATATTGATACTCTGTATCTCGAAAACGAAGCAAGTAAGGACACATGTTCATATGAACTTTGTTTCCTAAAATATCACAAGGAATCACCCCTTGAATTTTGTCGGTGTTATTCAGATACACCCTGTATACAGGATGTCTGTAAAAGGTCTTCACAAAAACATACCACATATTCCCTAGACCAAAATAAGTAAAATGACCTCAGTACAAAGTTGCATTGTTTGGGCTCCAGAGGGCCTTGAAGTTACAATTTTTATATCGTTTTTCCCATATAAATTTAAAACGGCATTATGCGAGTTAGCGGGAATTTGGTATATTGATAGTTTTATGTGGCGAAAAAAATGGTGTTAAAATTTTGTCCGATAATAATACATAGGCGTAGAACTTGATTTTTTAAATAATTGCACCTTTAAAAATTCTACGCCAATGGAAGAAAAGGAGTTTGAGTATGAAATTTAGATTGCGCAACTCATTTACTTCAAAAAAGGTACTCTTGATAAGACTTGATTGCTCTCATGGTTTTGACGAAATTTGCATTTTAGTAATTTTAGAACATAAACAATAATTATTAAAATACAAACTTTGTCAAAACCATGAGAGTAAATCGAGTGTTATCAAGGGTACTTTTTTGTAGTAAATGAGTACCCAATCCAAATTTCATACTCAAACCTCATTTCTGCCATTGGCGTAGAATTTTTAAAGGTGCAATTATTTAAAAGACAAGTTCCACGCCTATGTATTATTATCGAACAAAATTTTAACACCATTTTTTTTCCACATAAAACTCTATCAATATACCGAATTCCCGCAAAATAGCATATGCCGTTTTAAATTTATATGAGAAAAACGATTTAAAAATTGTAACTTCAAGGCCCTCTGGAGCCCAAACGATGCAACTTTGTACTGAGGTAATTTTACTTAAATCGACTTATTTTGGTCTAGGGAATATGTGGTATGTTTTTGTAAAGACCTTTTACAGACACCCTGTATAATGATAACCAATAACACAAAGGGAATTCCTGAGTTTTTCTACTTTGAATTCAGGCTATACAGTGTGTCCCACTTACCATGCTCACCATGGGTATCTTTTTAACGGTGAGAGATACGAGGTCGGTTAAATGACACCAAATGTGGAGTTTGTCAAGGCCAACTATAATGTGAAAAAATATTTTGATGAAATCTATTCGTTTTTGTTTTATACACAAATAACAGATTTTGATCATTTTTATGTCTCCCCCGTAACTTCTTTATTTATGAAAATATTCAAATAGGAATTTCACATTCTCATAGCAGTTTTTTAAAGTGATTTCGAAAAAAATATGAAATTTATACCAACTCTTCTAGAATTTGAGATATCAGCACCAACTTTAGTTTTTCAAATGTAGGTCATAGCTCATTATGACTTAGTTACAAATAACTTTTTTTTCTCTTACCGATGATGTGTCGCAGTAATAGTTTTGTGTTGATAACAACGGAGTTATCGTCATTTATACAAAAAGAAAAAATTATTTGGAAGCCGCCATCTTGAATTTATAAATTTCAACAAAAAAATCATGATCTCCGACCTCAAAAACCCCCACTTACCAATTTTGAATGGAATCGGACCAAATCTTGTCCGCCATCTTGGAGCAGCCATTTTTTCAAATTTCAACAAAAATTCCATAATGTATTGTCACCGGAATTTTGAACACCTGCCAAATTTCAAGCTAATCGGAGTTATGGAATTTTTGTTGAAATAAAAAAAATGGCTGCTCCAAGATGGCGGACAAGATTTGGTCCGATTCCATTCAAAATTGGTAAGTGGGGGTTTTTGAGGTCGGGGATCATGATTTTTTTGTTAAAATTCATAAATTCAAGATGGCGGCTTCCAAATAATTTTTTGTTTTTGTATAAAAGACGATAACTCCGTTGTTATCAACACGAAACTATTACTGCGACATATCATCTGGAAGATAAAAAAAAGTTATTTGTAACTAAATCATAGTGAGGTATGACCTACATTTGAAATACTTAAGTTGGTGCTGATATCTCAAATTCTAGATGAGTTGGTATAAATTTCATATTTTTTTCGAAATCACTTTGAAAAACTGCCATGAGAATGTGAAATTCCTATTTGAATATTTTCATAAATAAAGAAGTTACGGAGGAGACATGAAAATGATCAAAATCTGTTTTTTGCGTATAAAACAAAAACGAATAGATTTCATCAAAATATTTTTTCACATTATAGTTGGCCTTGACAAACTCCACATTTTGTGTCATTATACCGACCTCGTATCTCTCACCGTTAAAAAGATAACCATCGTATTTAAGACCACGACGTTATCAATGTTGACCAGTTTATTTCGATTTCAGAACTTTGCACATCCGAGACACGACGAATGGAACAAATTCTTGTACACCACCCAAGAACTGAGAAACAACCAGGTGGACGACGAACTAGAAAAATTAAACTATTCCGGCTCGAGCCAATCATCGATCAGCATGACGGCTCTGACGTCGACCCCACTGCGATAAATAGATAGCGAAATAATTTTAGGTTCTAAACGGCATGTCCTATGATATTTCTGAGATAACTTTATTACCGACTTGTCGTATACCCCTCCCCCCCCCCCTCTTCTTGTAATTATTTAACTGTGTCATAACTCTTAACCACGAAAAATTTGATAATGGGCGGAAAAGAAAGCTAACCAAACTTCTATCGATGAATAATGATGCTAACGATATGGGAAGTTGAGACGTTTTTTGTTACAAGGTTTTTGAGGTCGATTGAAACTTCTTACTTTTCTTCATGATGGTTTTCCAATTTGATACCGAAACTTTGTTTACACCCTGTTTATTTCGAGTGTTGAGTCTGATGTTGGGCGCCATTCGGTTGTTTGCTGAAATTAGCGGTGTGTTCTTTCACTCGGGTTCCTACATATCGACGTGTTTGTCCAATATATTCAATGTTTCAGTCGGCAAATCACGTAAAAACGACCGATGTGATGATTGCAGCATGGACTCATACAGGGTATTTTCTAATCTCCCTGACTATCGCTTAGTTTTCAAAATACAAGGTGTTCAAATTGTGTTTTAAATTCTGTTTTTTTATTTTAATTTCAGACATGTTTCGCTCAATTTCGTTTTTCATAGTTATCGGGAGCTCATTTAGCCATCAATTGAACACATTTATCAAGTCCAGTGGCGTTCGCAGAGGCATCGTGAACAATATTGACAAAAAAATATGGGCCATTGAATTTTTCATTCAATTTTTTGTTGTTGTTGTTGTTTAGCAACAACTGCTGTATCTCTCGAAGTGTTTTTCTATCTCGCTCTGTTTTCGAAATGAAAAATAAAAACCACTTTATAGCATCTAAATAGACCACATAAAACACGAACAAGATTTTTTTTTTGAATTGCTTGCAACAATGACCTTATTTCAAGGTGAAAATATGGTATTTTTAAATCCGTTTTTCAATTCAAAAACAAAATTCAAACACCTTCTTTTTTGTAAACCAAGCGACATTAAAAACAATTATTCAACATTTTGTCAGAGATGTTAGGAAACATCCTGTATAGGAACTCGATCGAATAAATTTTCGTGCTTCAATAATTCAGATACCATTAAATTTTGGAGATATGTTGTTTAACTCGGGTTTCTCTATTTCTACCTGTTTGTCCAATATATTTCATGCTGCGTTAGTTTTCTCGGAACAAACGATGCGATGACTGCAGCAAGAAACAATTTGGACAAACACGACAGTATTAGTGCACGCGATTAAAAGAACACTCATCCTGCAGTTATGCATGCATGCGGATTTCGGCAGCTTAGTGTGGATGTTATTCAACTCGGGTGCCTATATGTTGACGTGTTTCTCCAATGTATGTCATGGTGAAATCGTTATGAACGAACTACACAGCCTAGGAAATATTGGATAAACGCGACAGTATAAAGGAACACGATTCAAGGAACATTCTAGTTTATAGGAAATCGATTCAGGAACCAAAATTTGTGAGCCGTTGATGTACAGGATCTGTCCAGCTGTCATTATACATTTCTAGTCCTTGGAAAATAAATTTGAATGCCCTTCTACTTCTTGTGATAATTTTTATGGGGAAGTAAATGCACGAAGGCGTTTTTTTGAATTAAGTTTGATGAACGGTTTGTTTGTATACAGGTTCAGATTACAGAATGCGAAGACAGGTGATGATACTTTTGTTCATCTTATCTGAATGATGTATGTGCTTTAGAAATATGAAATTATACACTGTAGCTTCAATTATTATTGGCATTTTTAGTCCCGGGTATCGATTTTTAGATTTATTTTGTTACTTAAACGGTTAACATGTTTTTTGTTCATTTTGTGCCTGTAAATAGCTATTTATTTTTTTGTAATAACAGAATATTTAGTATTTTTTATACTTATTGTTATGTATGTATACATTCAGCTCCGGTGCAGTGACTTTGAAATAATACCGGGTGATTCACCCCCTATAACTGTTTTATTATTGAAGATAGTGAAACGAAATTTGGGTGTTATAATAATCCCTAGCCGATTATGGAATATAATACAGGGGGGCCCAGTCAGAAATCGAAAGTTGGGGTAAGTTCCGGTCAAACCGGAAGTACGGCGAAGCAAGTAAATATGTCAGAAATGTTGATTGGACTCTAATTTATAACTCCCGAATTTTGTTTTACTACCTTTTGTAAAAAAAATGTTATAGCGATATGAACCACCCTCTATAAAAAGTACCTTGTCAGACATTTTTAGTTCTGTTATTAAATCAATTTGTAGTTTGTTGAATCAGTTTGAAATGATAGAGCCACCCATTGATAAAATATATGAATATTTTTTCTCTTATTTGTATTTTAAATAAAATCATCTCTAATTGTTAATATTTTGATGTCACTGCAAATATTTATTATTTACATGAAATAAATTTCACTTTCTCGAAATAGTGGTTTGATTCAATAATATTCCCAACCACCCTTCTCACTTGAAATGTGTTGCAATTCCTCAGCCGATAGATGGCGCCACTTACATCTTTCCGACACCCGTTGTTTGGTCTTCCATATAAGTCAACTTTAGGGATACAAACCTGAGAAATCGAAAAATTTTGACACCTCAATATTCCCAACCACCCTTCTCACTTGAAATGTGTTGCAATTCCTCAGCCGATAGATGGCGCCACTTACATCTTTCCGACACCCGTTGTTTGGTCTTCCATATAAGTCAACTTTAGGGATACAAACCTGAGAAATCGAAAAATTTTGACACCTCAATATTGCCAACCACCCTTCTCACTTGAAATGTGTTGCAATTCCTCAGCCGATAGATGGCGCCACTTACATCTTTCCGACACCCGTTTGTTTGGTCTTCAATAAAAGTCAACTTTATGGATACGAACCTGAGAAATCGAAAACTTTGACACCTCAGCGGATTGAAGTTGATGAGATCTTATTCACAAAGGTCAGTGAACAAGCCATTTCAATAAAAAATCATGTATCCTATAGATAGGACGCACATCTACAACCAATATAACGTATACGTGTGTCTCGTTGGTTGCATGTATTTATTATGTTCTCAAAAATTGTCGCGCGGACGAAATACTTAAACGTGAATCACCCTGTACATTACATTTTTTCCTAAAGATATGAGAAATCTAAAATAAAAATCGAGCTATTTCAGCAGTTTTTTCAGGATTGGATAGTTTAGCTCGAAATGAAATTTTTCAGTACTTTATCGAATAATTCATGAACATAATGCCGTCTGACAAGCCACTAGACACATCCGTTTATATGACAATTGACACATGTCATCAATAACACGTTTGTTCGGTGGTGTTGCTCCAAGGCTATTCAACTCTATAATGGCGCGTTCACATGCTGGCTTTTTGCCTTTTGACTTACAGCGTATCCTCTTCTCATTGGCCGATTCGTCAGAAAGCGCTTATCGAGGTCATAAGCTAGAAAGTCGGTTTCAGTCCGACTTTTGCGGAAAAAAAGCTCAGATCGTTTGACAGAACCACACAAATATTGACAAAATGAATACATATTGTTGCTATATCATCATATAATGCAGTGTGGGAAACAGTACTGGAAAAACACTCCTAAAAATGTGATAAATGTGGTTTCTGGAGGACGTACATCTGAAATTTAACCAAATATGTGGCAGTCACTGTCACTTTTCCAACTTTTTCATGTGAACAGTGCGTCCGTTATATGGGTTGCGTGCAAGAACTGTCAGATGACCGACACTGGAGGCAAAATATTGAAACACAAACGTCACTTTACTTATTTGTTTACAAGTGATTGAAATAGTTTTTCACAATTATTTTGGCATACGAATCGTATTTTTCCGCTATTCATCAATTCGCTCATGCCATCACATTATGCTGCGGAAGACGAAGTAATCCGGTTGGTACAATATGATTCAAAAGTAAGTACCTAGTATAGTCACTCACATATAGTTTTCATTTTTGAAATTTGGTAATTTCTCTGATTTCTCATCGAAATTCTTTCTGCGATAGAAGCTAATAGAAATACATCTGAAATTTCTACAATAATGCCAGAAAATTGGATTCATGCAATCAATCGGGAGGACTGGTCTGACATGCTGACGATCGTGTGTGTTGTAGACATTTTCAATCTATTAGCAGTATTAGCTTGTATTGCAGAAGTGACAGAAGGCAGAAGGAATTTTAATAAGGAATGACAACATTTCATAATGATAACTATGTGAGATTACTATTTACCTGAAAAATCATATTTAGTCTCTTGCTGCATTTTTTGTGCATTGTACAACAGCACAATGCGAAGGCATGCTCGAATTAATGGATAGCGCAAAAAACACGATTCGTATGCCAAAATATTGTGAAAAACTAGTTCAATCCTTTGATTCCTCTGTAACCAAGTAAAAAAGTGAGGTTGTGTTTCAATAATTCACAGAAGAATGAGGTTGTGTCTCAATATTTTGCCTCCAGGGTCGGTCATCGTGCACGCGACCTATACTGTGGTTTTATTCAAGCTTTCTGCTGTAGGCATAAGCTGGCATGTGAACTCGCCATAAGCAAAGTCGTCACTACTAGATACTAGATATCTTTTTTCTTTCTATCCCAATATGTAAACAGATATAGCAATAGCAATATACAAAAATTATTAGGCCCAAAACCAAACTGACCTAACTTAATATTTTTGGGAAATTTCAGATAATTTTTATTTCTTTTTGATCTATTTTGGTGTGGAAGGTGAATGGTGATTACAGTAGTTCAGAATGTAAAAATCACAGTTTATAGAAAGTCTAATGGTTGTCGCATCGAGACTCTTGCCATCCACCCATCCCATCACCCATCAGAGTATGTCAACTCATCTTGAACCCAATCAATTAATCGACCCCAATTAGCCCAATTCCCCATCTCATCCACGTTCATTTTTGATGGGACTACCGTTTTCTTCTATAAACCGTGAGTAAACATCATAATAGATAACTATTTTTTACAGGGCACTGGTAAACATGTTGAGAAAACTGTTATCAACCCCTTATGCACTTTTACATGCAAGCAGAGTTACAATATCCAGCAAGATCACCAATTTATGTAATAAGTAATAACTATAAAACCTCTGCATTAATCCACCAACAGTCATTATAATAATTACATTTTCATTACATTATAAATTAAGAATGTTGAAAACTCCAATTCCATAGAATGCGTTCATGAAACACATCAACACGTTTTCATTACATTTCCATCACATTAGTGCACTAAGAAGTTGACCAACTTTTAACTATTCATTATTATTACATTATAGTTCTAGTGAAAACGACTGATTTGCAAGTTTAGATCATTGAATGATCATTTTTTCCACAAAACTATCTGTGATTCACCTCAGATATTATATTCATGATAAATCCATGTTCTTAAATTAGGTACCTGTAAAAATTTGGAAAATCCAACTAAATCACATAACCTCAAATAATTAGTTCATTATGAGCATAAGTTGCATGAAGGGGTACCTTGCGGCTAGTGAAAATGTAATTATAATGTAGTGTAGTGTATTGTATGAATCCGCCTTAAATTCCATTAACTCTGATAAAAACCCATCAAATTCTTTCAGGCACTGTTGAGAAAAACACTATGTCTGCCCCAGCAAATGTGGCCACTTATGATGAAGTGAAAAAGGTTGGGTTAGAAAATAAAGAAGTATTAATTATAGATGTCAGAGAGCCAAAGGAACTGCAAGAAACTGGTGTAATTCCTGGTAGTATCAATATTCCTTGTGAGTACCAGTGCTTACCTTCTTTTCACAGTCAAAATATTTTACTGCAAACTTCAATTCCTAAAAAGAACATGCATAATATTGTTGGATTCATGAAGATATCCAAAAATACTGGCCTAAAAAATTTGTTTCTTTTTATTGTTTCAGTGGGTGATATACAGAGTGTTTTGAGAGACCTTTCACCAGAGCAGTTCACCCAGAAATATGGAAGAAACAAACCTAGTATAAACAGTGAGATAATATTTTCCTGCAAATCAGGGAAGAGAGCTGCATCAGCCCTAGCTATTTCTGAACAATTAGGGTTTAAATGGTAACAAAATTATCGAATTCAACAGTTTTGAAGCATTATATATTGAGCTATTTATTTTTGTGCTTGAAATTAATGAATTATTCTTATTTTCAGTGTCAAAAATTTTAGTGGTGGATGGTTGGAATGGGAAGAAAAATCAAAATGTTAATATACCTACAGTATTAGTAAAATATTTACACAAATTTTTACACTGTTACTGTTAGTGTCATTTTTACACTGTTAAAACAATTTTTTTAAATCTTCAATGTTTTTCACAAATTCATAGAATACTTATAGAAAATATCACAGGGCATCTCTAAATAGGAATTTTGAAACTTTTAGTGATATGTACTTACTTGAACTACCTGAAATAAAATATGAACATGGGACACATTGTTGAAAATAAATGTTTTTCACTCATGATTTTTTATTAACCTCATCACAAAATTGGAAGGGCAGTGAGAAGCTTATTCAAACAATTTTGAATAATAATTAGAGATGAAATAATTCATAATGAATTATTACAAAATATTCAAACAATAGGAACAAGAATTCTATGATTCCAATTCCTTTCAATTCTTATAATTATTATACAGGGTGTTTCAGACTTAAATGTACATAAGATACTGGCAGATAGAGGACGCTTTGCCGGTTTCAAATCACCCCCATTGATCATAATTTTTGAACCACGTTGTATAATCTATTTATACTTGGTAGAAATATTCCACTTATATTACACATCAAAACTAAATAAAAATTGAGATCAGAATCCAGGTCCGTCTTAAGGAAAAACAGAAAACATGTTTATTTCAAGTATGGCAAAATTTTGTGGATCTGTTTTGATATTTGGAAAGAGCAGGAAAAAATTATTAATAAAGTGACCTACTTATTACGAGCGCGCATCCAATTTGACAGATGGTTTATTATTATGTTTCGAAATATTCACCCCATTTCGAGGCATATATTTATTGAACTGTAATTCAAAATCCAATTTTGATAACAAAAAATAATTGTCTTCAAAGTTGATCGTCATTAAAAACAAATTAGGTAAACTCTATTGAGAGATTTACCGCAGCTCATGAATCAATTGGGATTTCAACCTTCATTATCTCGCGCTGTCATTCTGTCAAAAATGATATGTTTTTGACACCAAGTGTGATATGTCAAAATTTTAATTTTGCCAGAACGACTCGAAAAATATGTTTACCATATTCGGTTGCATAAACAAATAAACAGACACAATTGAATGAATAATTATATTATAACCTTCAATACTAACACCAAATAATCACACTTGATGATCACGTGATATATGCCGTCAGATGGCATATTGCTTAGCATTAAAACACAATAGTGAAGAATAAAACGAGCCCTCAAAAATTTCTAAAACCCCAGACGATATTCTGTCGAACGAACATAAATATTTATTTCACCCTAATGATGTTGAACTTCGAAGGACGTTTTTATTTTGTGGAATAATTGGATTTTGAAATACGAGTTCAATAAAAATGACTCAAAATGGAGCCGAGTATATCAGGAAATAATAATAAAAACATCTGTTAAATTGGATGCGCGGTCGTAAAAAGTAGGTCACTTCATTCGTTTCTCCCTGCTCTTTCCAAATATTGAAACAGATCTAAAAAAATGTGCCATACAGAGTGTTGTTTTTGATATAAAACAAGTTCTCTGTTTTTCCCCAAGACGGACTTGGATTCTGATCCCGATTTCCATTTAGTTTTATCTCCCCCCTGTCCCCTATCTCCAGGTATCGTATGTACATTTAAATCTGAAACACCCTGTATATAGTAGCAGATCCCATTAGGAAATTAAAATATCTGTACATGTCTTGACTATATAAAAACAACTACAATATGAACAAACCATTGAAAACCCTATACAGGGTGGCTGAACAAACATCTAAATCAGGGAATCTAATAAAAACTCGGGAGCCATTTTAATAAGTGATTCTGGAAATCCATTCAAGTCTTTTCGATCAAAAACACCCTGTATTGTTTTTCAAGACAAACTGTCTAATGTTCAAACGTTGACAAGAACGTGAAATAATAAGCTACAAAATTCACTTATTGGAAAACTTTCAGAGGATTTTAAGTACTAAAGTCAGAAGAATACGTGTATTTAGGTTCTTGTCAAGACTGGTGGAAATTTATCTGTGTGAAATTTCAACACTGCAGACCACGGGCCAGTGTCTACATTGTGGAGAAAGGATCTAAGTGCCAAAATAACAAATACAGGTAATGACAGTATTTTAGAGTTAGTATGGAATCAATTAATTATCTACCAATGGAAAATTTACTATGTAGAGTTTGAAGAGTACAAATGCTAGTGTTTTTTTTTTGAGCAAAAAGGATCTAAGTGCCAAGAAGTGAGGTCCATTAGGTGTGGAGTTCATTAAAATAATAATTTAAAGTTGCCTGGGTATCAACATCACTATTAAACGACAGAAATTGTATACTAACTAAATGCCCTGGTAAATATGATAGTTTCAGCACTTACTACCTTTTGGTTATTGTTGTGTTTGGTTAAAACATTTTTATATACAGGTTGATCCACGGTAGATGGCCTATCAAAAGTATCAGGAGAACGAAAAGACAAAATAACATTCTGAAAATTGAGATGCTTTGATAATTGAACATTCTCTATCCGTCTAAAATATTTTCATCAATACAGTGTTGCCACTTCTATCACAAACAACTAGCAACTTCGTTATTTTAAATGGAGCACGCTGTATTTCATTGCATTTTTAGATTCTTCCTGGACAGCTGATTTCATCAATACAATACACTTGGGGTCTAGCAGGTATGATTACAGAGATATAGGGTGTTCAAAATCGAGATTTTTCGATTTTAGGATAAGTTTGTGTCGAAACTATTCATTATCGATCAAAACGACTCACATGTCCCTATCTCAACTTTCGATTCTCTATTTTCTGATATTTTATAGGAACAGATATACAGGGTGATCAGAAATCTGAATCTTGAAGCACCCTGTATTGTTTCCAATTAAATTCCAGTAGATAGTGAATCAAAAGTTAAGATATGCAGAACACATTCCATTCTTATGAATGCCACAGTGTTTCAATGAGGAATTGCCATCAGAATCTGAATATAAATGTATCTGTAAAACATAGTTCATACTCAAAGACTTCGTTGGAAATTGCTATTAGGAACCTGTCATGAATGTACATGCAGAACACATTTCAAAATCATAAATTACGATGTTTTAATAAGGAATTGCCATTTAGAACCGATTATGAATGTATCTGTAAATTACGGTTCAAACTCATCGACTCCATTGAGGATTGCCATTAGGAACTGATTATAAATGTAACTGCAGAATACATTTCGAGCTTATAAATTACTGTTCAACTATCCAACAATCCAACTTGACTCTGATATATTCTCATATGTAAATAATCAGGAATTACTATTAGGAACTGATTATGAATATATCTTCGAAAAACAGTTCATACTCATAAGAGAAAGGAAGAGAATCGCCATTAGAAACTGATTATATATGTATCTGCAAAATACATAGGATTATACGGAATTACTGTTTCACTATCCAACTTCATTCTCATAAATTCTCATATATATTTTTTTATAAGTTTCTATGAGACATTTTTGGCAGGGTAGGCATATGTAAGCCGTTTTGATCGATAATGAATAATAGTTTCGACACAAAAAAAATCCTAAAATTGATAGATCTCCATTTTGAACACCCTATATCTCTGTGATCATTCCTGCTAGACCCCAAGTGTGATGAATTGATGAAATCAGCTCTTCAGGAAGAATCTAAAAATGCGATAAAATACAGGGTGTTCCATTCAAAATAACAAAGTTGCTAGTTGTTTCTGATAAAAGTGGCAACACTGTATCGATGAAAATATTTTAGACGGATAGAGAATGTTCAATTATCAAAGCATCCCAATTTTCAGAATGTTCTGTCTTTCCGTTTTCCAGATACTTCTAATTGGCCATCCACCGCGTGGATCACCCTGTATAGTAACTTCGCGGAATTAAACAATAATAATACATCAACGTAATTAAAATATTTTGGCACCAGAAAGAACGGCCCTATTGAACTCTCGATTTGATAAAAAGGTAATAAATGAAGAAAAAATGGTGATGGTGAAACGAAACAAAAAATAAGCACCCATTTTTTCCTCTGACTGCACTAAAAAAATACACTTTCACCCCCCAGGCAGTAAAAAAATATACTGGTAATGCCTGAGCAACGAAAATACGAATTTTCTGACTTTTCGAGAAAAATCATTTACATTTTAATAATCCAATCTTTTATGGATCAAAACATACTTTCCTATCCTGGAAGTAGCTGGCATATCTGTATGGAATATTTCATGAGTTTGTTTGTACCTGAAATAATAAATGAGTACCCATTATAGATCTTAGAAACAAAATGATCATACATTTTTTATTCATGGAGCGATTTTCACGAATTTTCCGTGAAATGTAGAGAGTAGAGGGGGCTGGGCGGCGTTAAATGTTTTTTAAAAACCCAAGCCTACTAGATTACATTCTAAGGCTGTATAAATTCCAGAATCCATATTAGCGATTTTATAGAGAAAATCCACGTACACCGCTGGAATTGGCGTCTTCTGAAATAGATCTGTACCAATGAGTTTCATCAAAGAATATTCAACATTGAAGAATCTACAGCGTGTCTCATTTCAAACGCCCCTCCCCCCTCTAAATCTGTGGTATTCGTACCAAAGGACCCCGCACGAAAACACGGTAAATTGGTTCTCGGTCGAATTGGCTGAAATTTTACTATGTTAGTGTGGAATGGCTCATTAAAAAAATATGTGAGTTTGAAAAGTTTTGTATGTTTAGTTTCTGAGATATAAGCCGACAAAGTTCGTAAAAACGTCGTATCGAGGTAGAATTGACAAAGAAAAAAACTGTTTTTTTAGTATAAATGAAACAAAATAAGCTAGAAAATGTATTGATCGGAACTCATAAACATGTCTAGTTATAATCACATAAATTTTAGTAAATCAGGGTGTATACGAGGCACGGTGAAAAAATTCATTTTTCGGAAAAGAAATTCGAGCACTATTTCAAAACTAACAAGTTATATTTTGGTAGGACATTATATTTCCAGTCTATTGTAGGCTTCGAAAACGTATTTTGATTTTTGATAGCTATCTCTCTTCGAAATATGAATATTTAGAATTTTGTGTTATACCCCTTTTTGAAAACAATTGACAACTTGTTTTTGATCACGAAGAAAGAGATTGATTGATACTGTTGATTGAATAAAAGCTAAGATAACTCACTAGCGAATTCAGTTGTTCAATATTGCCTTTCATTTAGATACAGGGTGTGTTGGAGTTTGTTGAAGATTATTCAGCATGTTTCAATTGAATATCTAGAAAACAGTTCCGTCAATTTGGATCTCATTTTACTCCCACTATTTTGAATATGTTGACTATCATATGCAAAAAGTTTTTCAATGTTTTATGTTTTGTTTCTGAGATATCAATTTATGAGTTGACAGTATTACAGGTATTATAGGGATCCATATCTCAGAAACGAAACATAAAAAATTGAAAAAATTTTTGCATATGATAGTCAACATATTCAAAATAGTGTGAGTAGAATAAGATAGAAATTAACGGAACTGTTTTAGAGATATTCAATTGAAACATTTTAAATAATCTTCAACAAAATCTAAGACAACCTGTATCTAAATGAAAAGCAATATTGAACAACTGAATTCACTAGTGAGTTACTTCAGCTTTCATTCATTCAACAGTATCAATCAATTTCTTTTTTTGTGATCAAAAACAAGCTGTCAGTTGATTTCCAAAAGGGGTATAACACAAAATTCAAAGAATTCATATTTCGAATAGAGATAGTTATAAAGAATGAAAATACGTTTTCGAAGCCTACAGTAGACTAAAACTATAATGTCTCACCAAAATTTAACTTGTTGGTTTTGGAATAGTGCTCGAATTTGTTTTTCGAAAAATGAATTTTTTGACCGTGCCTCGTATACACCCTGATTTACTATAATTAATGTGATCATAACTACACATGTATTTGAGTTCCTATCAATACATTTTCTAGCTTATTTTGTCTTTTTTATACTAGAAAATAGTAGATTGCTTTATTAGGATCAAAAGTGAGCGGCGGAGCGTTTAGCGAAGCCGAGCGAAAGCAAAATTTTGCGAGTCGAACAAAGTCACTTTTGATCCGAATGAAACATGCTATTTTTTCTGCAACCAAAACAATTAACTCAATTAAACATGTGAAGTAACCACCAATGCCGTGCCATATGTATGCAATGCAACGAATATTGACAAATAATCTATGTGGTGAGAATATTCTACCTGCATTAACAGCAGGTTAGGTTTTCAAGGATGTTCGAATTGTAGTTTCAATATAAATACAACCACAAAGTGACATATTTGTATATGGACCAGGTGCTCTAATGGCAAATACCGCGCCAGTGCCAGCTATAGGAACAAGACGTGGAAAATGTTAGGTTAGTGAGCATATCAACAATGATAATAGTGATTATTTATTCCTCTCCATTCTACACTGTGTTTGACTTGATAATCAAATGAAGCTAAACAATATCGTTGTATGAGACAAAAAAACTATTGCCTGCCGTGATTATTCAAAAACAAGTTATCCATCCCGAGAATAACGAATGAAATACAGATCAAGCAAGTATTTGAATCTTGAAGGCTTCCCTGATCAAAACAAAAATACTTAACTGAGATATTTATAATTCCAATACTAAACTATAATAAGGTGTATTTATATCACCAGCAAGGGTATGAAATGCCAAATCCGCTGAAATCGGAAACAATTCAGGTATGCGTCTCAACCCAAATAACCAACCGTCCCAATGTTGTTTATTCTTGATGACGTCCAGTAGATTCTTTTTAGACTTTAGCTCCTAGGAACTAAAATTCAACTTTAGCTCCTAGGAACTAAATATGTTGCTTAGCAACATGCCTATTTTTGTGTCAGTAATAGAAACGTCAATTCAAGAGCTAATTTTGGTATCAAAATGGACGACTCTTGTGTCGGTAGCAGAAAAACAGTTTTTTTCTGCAACCGACACAAAAGTCGTCCATTTTGATACCAAAATTAGCTCTTAAATTGACGTTTCTACTACTGACACAAAAATAGGTATGTTGCTAGGCAACATATTTAGTTCCTAGGAGCTAAAGTTGAATTTTAGTTCCTAGGAGCTAAAGTTGAACTTTAGCTCCTAGGAACTAAAAAGGATCTACTGGACGTCATCAAGAATAAACAACATTGTGACGGTTGCTTATTTGGGTTGAGTAGCATACCTGATTTGTTTCCGATTTCAGCAGATTTGGCATTTCATACCCATGCTGGAGATATATAAATACACCTTATTATAGTTTAGTATTGGAATTATAAACATCTCAGCTAAGTATTTTTGTTTGATCAGGGAAGCCTTCAAGATTCAAATACTTGCTTGATCTGTATTTCATTCGTTATTCTCGGGATGGATAACTTGTTTTTGGATAATCACGGCAAGCAATAGTTTTTTTTCTCAAACAACGATATTGTTAACCTTCATTTGATTATCAAGCGACAAACATTGTATTACGAAGAGGAAAAAATAATTGCTATTCTTATCGTTGAGATTGTTGATGTGCTCACTAACCTCTAACATTTTCCAAGTCTTGTTTCTATAGCTGGCACTGACGCGGTATTTGCCATTAGAGCACCTGGTCCATACACTGTGATTGTATTTATATTGAAACTACAATTCGAACATCCTTGAAAATTGAATGAACCTGCTGTTGATGCAGGTAGAATGTTCTCACCACACGGATTATTTTTCAATATTTGTTGCATTGCATACATATGGCACGGTATTGGTGGTAGCTTCACATATTTATTTGAGTTATTTGTTTCGGTTGCAGAAAAAATAGCATGTTTCATTCGGATCAAAAGTGACTTTGTTCGTCTCGCAAATTTTGCTTTCGCTCGGCTTCGCTAAACGCTCCGCCTCGCAAATGCAAAATTCGCTTGTCAAACAAAGTGTCACTTTTGATCCTAATAAAACAATCTACTATTTTCTCTGTTAATCCTACCCCGATACGACGTTTTTACGAACTGTGTCGGCTTACATCTCAGAAACTAAACATACAAAACTCTTCAAACTCACATATTTTTCTAATGAGCCATCCCACAACAACATAGTAAAATTTCAGCCAATTCGACCGAGAGCCAATTTACCGTGTTTTCGTGCGGGGTCCTTTTCCTTACCTGCTCAAAATGTCACTGATATTCGCTTCCAAAACATCGAATAATATTATGTGAGAGGGCAGTGTCCCATTGGGAGGGTAGTTTTGTCTCAACCAGGCACTGGGGTTCTTATAAAATTGGTCTGCCTCGTCCACATACCCATCGATGTTATTCAAATTTGGCAAGCACGTTAAAAAGCGCGTCGTCACATTGATATGAAGATGACTAAAATGAAACAAACAGTAATTTACGTAACAAGTCCGGAAAATACTGTTTTTTTGGACGAGTAGACGAAATTCTTGGCCGAGCTGTAGGCGAGTCCTGGAAGTCTGCGAGTCCGAAAAAACTGTTATTGGACGTGTTGCGTACACTATTTTTTCGGCAACCATGTATAATAACAAATCAGTGAGACACATTTCCATGTTATACAGTGTGTCCCACTTACCATGCTCACCATGGGTATCTTTTTAACGGTGAGATATACGAGGTCGGTTGAATGACACCAAATGTGGAGTTTGTCAAGGCCAACTAGATATAGAAATAGAATCTATTCGTTTTTGTTGTATACGCAAAAAACAGATTTTGATCATTTTCATGTCTCCTCCGTAACTTCTTTATTTATGAAAATATTCAAATAGGAATTTCACATTCTCATTGCAGTTTTTCAAAGTAATTTCGAAAAAAATATGAAATTTATACCAACTCTTCTAGAATTTGAGATAGCAGCACCAACTTTAGTTTTTCAAATGTAGGTCATAGCTCACTATGACTTAGTTACAAATAACTTTTTTTTCTCTTACAGATGATATGTCGCAGTAATAGTTTTGTGTTGATAACAACGGAGTTATCGTCATTTATACAAAAACGAAAAATTATTTGGAAGCCGCCATCTTGAATTTATAAATTTTAACAAAAAAATCATGATCTCCGACCTCGAAAACCCCCACTCAACAATTTTGAATGGAATCGGACCAAATCTTGTCCGCCATCTTGGAGCAGCCATTTTTTTAAATTTCAACAAAAATTCCATAACTCCGATCAACTTGGAATTTGGCAGGTGTTCATAATTTCGGTGACAATACATTATGGAATTTTTATTGGAATTAAAAAAAATTGCTGCTCCAAGATGGCGGACAAGATTTGGTCCGATTCCATTCAAAATTGGCAAGTGGGGGTTTTTGAGGTCGGAGATCATGATTTTTTTGTTAAAATTCACAAATTCAAGATGGCGGTTTCCAAATATTTTTTGTTTTTTGTATAAATGACGATAACTCCGTTGTTATCAACACAAAACTATTACTGCAACATATCATCTGTAAGAGAAAAAAAAGTTATTTGTAACTAAGTCATAGTGAGCTATGACCTACATTTGAAAAACTAAAGTTGGTGCTGATATCTCAAATTCTAGAAGAGTTGGTATAAATTTCATATTTTTTTCGAAATCACTTTGAAAAACTGCCATGAGAATGTGAAATTCCTATTTGAATATTTTCATAAATAAAGAAGTTACGGAGGAGACATGAAAATGATCAAAATCTGTTTTTTGCGTATACAACAAAAACGAATAGATTTTATCGAAATATTTTTTCACATTATAGTTGGCCTTGACAAACTCCACATTTGGTGTCATTTAACCGACGTCGTATCTCTCACCGTTAAAAAGATATCCATGGTGAGCATGGTAAGTGGGACACACTGTATTCCTTTGTGGAATACAATTTCTTCTTTATTAATTCTCATTTGCATCAAATACTGAAATTTTAACAGAATACCTATACCTACCAACTGTCACATTGGAAATTTCGTATGGACTTTTTGGAAACTCACTATTGCAGCTGATTTCAATAGTTTATTGCGATAATTGCAACCAAAAAATCAAAATTTCAACTAATTTCATGTCAAAGAGCTGTCAGCCGATATATCGCTGCTATAGTAATTATAGAGATGTATAGAAATGTAACTGGTGCGCTTGCTCCCTATTGAAGGTCGTTTGCAAGTTTCTCGATGGCGCCTACTCTGATAAACCTACTTGACGTGGGTGAATCTCGCTTAGCTCATCCTGGTTACAATCCATATTTACAGGATTTCTCTCCATACTCCACTGTGTTTGGCTTGGTAATCAAATGAAGGTAAACAATATCGTTGTGTGAGACAAATAATATTGCTGGCCGTGATTATTCGAAAACAAGTTATCCATCCCGAGAATAACGAATGAAATTCAGATCAAGCAAGTATATGAATCTTGAAGGCTTCCCTGATCGAAACAAAAATACTCAACTGAGATGTTTATAATTCCAATACTAAACTATAATAAGGTGTATTTATATCTCCAGCATCGATATGAAATGCCAAATCTGCCGAAATCGGAAACAAATCAGGTAGGTTTGCGTCTCAACCCGAATAACCAACCATCACAAAGTTGTTTATTCTTGATGACGTCTCGTAGATCGTTTTTAGTTCCTAGGAGCTAAATTTCAACTTTAACTCCTAGGAACTAAAGTTCAACTTTAGCTCCTAGGAACTAAATATGTTGCCTAGCAACATACCTATTTTCGTGTCAGTAATAGAAACGTCAATTTAAGAGCTAATTTTGGTATCAAAATGGACGACTTTTGTGTCGGTTGCAGAAAAAAATAATTACGGTTTGTTGATAAATATTCACCTAAAAAAATATTTTTTAGAAATAATGTTTATGCCAAAACAACGTTGCCGGGTTAGCTGGTATGAAGTAATCTTTTTTTCGAAACTTTCATTCTTTTTGTTCAATGTTTCCCCTGAATTGCACTATTCATCCTCGATATGATTCAACCAAATGAAAAACAATCCTGATACTTTACCTGTACAAGGGAGTAGAGTGACAAGGCATCAGGAATAGCAAACTGGTTTGCTGAGGATTTTTATGGGAAATTTGCCTCAGAGATGTCATCACATCGAGAGTGCCTCTCTGATGCACCATGCCAAGGTACCACATTGGTACCACATTTCCCACGAAAATTACTGTCGCTACTACCCAAACAGCAGCCCTGAATTAAAAATATAATAGAACTATTGAAGACAAGATGTCACAAATTTTCTGAGTAATATAAACTGCTCAACAGTGATGAGAACGTGAAATCCAAATTTTTCGATCGATTTTGATTATTTATAATGGACTAGTGGGATGGTAGTGAATTTTATTGGCATTGAATTACTCCACTTTGTCGTTAGGGACCTAAATTAATTTCTGCAACAAATCTCAGACTTTTTAATGTCAATAATAACCCAGCGAGCACAAACATCCCTGGGATGTTTTGGGATGTTTTGAAAATGTTGGCATGAAGATGTCATTTTGAAACGTAATATGCACTGACCAAAGAGGTCTTTGAAGGATATTGAAGTATTGTTTTTGTTCTTCTGTGGCATTTCCTTGTTTACCTACTGAGAGATATCCCTGGGATGTTTTGGGATGTTTTAGAATTGTAGGCATGAGGATGTTTTTTTGAGGTGTAATATGCACTTCCCAAAGAGGTCTTAGAAGGATATTGAGAGTATTGCTTTTGTTCTTTTGTGCCCTTTCTTTGTTTGCCCCACCACAACGTCTCATGCTTACGTCACAATACGATGAATTTTGATTTGTTTTCGATTTTGTTCTTCTTGCATTCGCGTTTGCAGCTAGTCACGCTTACATCACGCTGCTAACGAACAGAAAGTAATTTGGTGAAGTTTATTGTGTTAGAAGACTTATTTAGTTTGTAATAATGACCATCAGATGCAAGATGTGTTGTTCGGTGCCTCAGTGTAATCAATATATAAAAGTACGAATTCATCAATACACAGCTTCTCCGCAGTTGCAAAATTATGCATTGTGGAGAACATTTCAAAAATTGGGAAACCTTTTTCCAATTATATGTCTGTGTGTATAGTAAGCACTATTCAGAAACCGATTAAGAAGGTAATTTCGTATCAAGAAAATATTTTTATGTTCAATCTATTTTCAATGCATTTTTTCATTCAAGGGAAATGGAATCCTAATGCAAAAGTTCATTTTGACAAAAGGCTTCAGAAAAGTACCTCGAAAATGTTTTTTTTTACAGCGATTTAATATGCGCAAGACGCGTTGAAAATGTTCTGTTGTGTCTGTGTCCATGAAAAGGCTTTAAAAAGAACTAGGGAGAAGGTATTTTGTGACATATCAAGGACATCTCGATAATTGCCGCCTGCGGCGGACATTGGCTGTTCTATAATAGTTCTATTCATGTGTGGACAGAACATCGCAGTGGAGGTTCAATGTCTCGAAATCTCGTACTTTTAACATCTCTGAGATGTTTTTGTGCTCGCTGGGAAGTCTATATGCGTTGTTCAAAATTGTTGAATTTCAGAGCTCATTTCAAACGTCGAATAAATGGTAACGTTTGTTTTTACGCTAATCCTAAGTGATTTTTCAAGGGGCTTGTACTGCTAAAATGCTGAAATATTGGATAGAAAAATCTTCATCGACACAAGAAATAATATGGAATTCGTACACACCTGCTGGCTTTTCGGCTCCAAGCAGACAAAAATCTTGATGAAATGTAGAGCACCAATGGCAGCAGCGATAAAATGAACCGGAATTCCTTGTGTGGAAGACAGCTGTGAATGATAATTAGCTTTTTTATTGAAAAAGATACTTACTGATCTTTATTTATGACTATTTTGTGTGTACAGGGTGTTTCCTAAATTCACACAAGAGAAAAATACATTATTTGAAACAATTTTCGAAAGACGGTTCCCTTCTATAACCACATCCAATTTTCCAACTATTATTGAATGTCTGGCACCATTGCAAACGCTCGGGTCTGGATCATACCATCCGTTCGCAAAATTGAGAAAAATATCCCCCTTTGTTACATTTATTCCATTAAAAAATATATTTCTTCCGGATTTTCGTTTTTTCGCTTTTAACAATGAATTTTATGAGGTCAAATATTTCGAACAAAACAAACCGGAATTGAATCGGACCATTCGTTTGTAGATATAACGTATATGTTCGGTGATATAACTTTGTATGAAGTCATATAAAATTCTGGGACTGAGATTAAATAACGTTCTTCCCGAGGCCTTGAAAAATATCAACTCAGTTCATTGCTTTAAGAAAATGTTATGTAAGTTACTTTTAGAAATTAGCCCATAAACAGAAGCTGAATTTTATGAATATCTTAAATGAATTCAGAAGTATGTTTGGATCTTCCTTTTTTTTAAATAGTCTTGTATAGTAACGTAACGTGTATATGTGTATTATTTGTTATATTTGATTTGAATTAGTTTTAGCCTTTGACCTGTTCAATAGCTATGTTATTGAGCTCATTTAATGGATTAAATTGTCTATCTATCATATCTATCTATCTATGAAATTTTAGCTTCCAATTTTTTCTTCATTTTCGTCTTATCGCTTTCAGCAATTTGATAATCCAACAGAACAAAACGGAGTTGAATCGGTCCATTCATTCGCTAGACATGATGATTTGAAATTTTTGAAAAAGTTTCCCAAGGGTCTCTTTGTTAAATTTTTCCCAGTATTCTTTCTGGATCTTGGTATTTCACTCTAAGCAATGTATTTTACGAGGAAAAAGAATGCGAACAAAACAAACCGGCGTTGAATCGAACCATCTGTTCACTAGATATGAAGATTTGAAATTTCAGGAGAAGTTTCTGATACATTTTTTTCAGTGAAGAACATTTTTTCGAATTTCCGTTCTTTTGTTTCTAGCAATGCATTCTATGAAAATTCTATTGGCAAGGAGCTGGTGGAGTGTTTCTGCACTCAATGTATACCGGGTGTCCCAAGTTGTCGTATACAGACAATTTCTCGCTTATTTGATAAGATAATTGAAACTAAAAATCACAACAAGTGTTCAAAATTATGACATGAGAAGCATCGGTTTCTTGAATTCAAAAACATGAGCGGAGTCAATATTTAATTTTTATAAGCGTAATTGAGTAACTTGAAACAAGTCACGAAATGTTGATATTTTTGTTATCAATAAAGAAATACTAAGTATACGCTATCGTTGTATTCCAAATTGAGTGACAAGTAATTTCCAATGAAAATATACAGGGGATTCCATTCGAAAATAGAATGTGGGGGGTAGCTGTCACAAAACTGTTAAATATAATGGATTTTGGATGTCATTAGGAAGGTACTTCAATGTCATTCAATAAGGTTTTTGAATTTTTCAACTATCTTGACAAATAAGCGAGATATTACACTACACTGTTTTACCACTAACCAAAACGATTTTTTAACGCCTCGACACGTGTTTCGCTATCTATGTTAGCATCTTCAGGAGAAGATTAAATTAGTTTTAATTTTCTCCCGAAGATGTTAACATAGTTAGCGAAACACGTGTCGAGGCGTTAAAAAATCGTTTTGGTTAGTGGTAAAACAGTGTAGTGTATTATCGTGCCAAAGGTTCCAGTCTTCGATATAAGCGAGATATTGTCTGTATACGATAACTTGGGTTGGGACACCCGGTATGTTTCCTTCTTAGTCGCATGTTTCGAAAACAGGTAAATAAACACTCAGTGGAGAAACACTCCACCATTTCCTGTCAATAAAATTCGCTATGAATCAATAGGTGCGTTTTTTTGGTGTCCCACTGGTGGCAGTTGAAGTGACGACCAATAAAACGATGTGATTTAAACTGGGCGTCAATTGAAACGTTAATAGTGAAATTTGGCATCAAGTTTGACTTCTCGTAATTTCTAAAATATTGAACGAATTTTGAATTGCCGCCCAGATTCTGAATGCCTTTTTCATCGTCTTTCGAACCGTTCCTTACAACATCTTCTGAATTGATCAGGACCCATGATACAGGGTGAAACAAAGTTTCGTGCATTTTGAAAAGAATTTCTCCACTCCCCCATTTTGTTGGAAGACCACGATGCTCATATTTTATTCAGGCATTTCATAAATAGCAACCATACTTCGGGACATTTTCGAGTTTTGCCAAAAACTACTGTGGTTTCCGAAAAAAAAATTCTTTTTGTTTTTTTTTTCAAATGGCCTGGTTACCTGTATCTCCAAAACGATGAATCAGTCTATTTATTGTCATGACTGACTTATTGAAAATAAAACTTGAATGAGTTTGGGTATATCCTAATCGTCGTAACCTGAAATAATAATTATCTGTACTGAATTATAGTTTATATCACTATAATGATCTTACCAAATGATATTTTCCATTTCGACCCGATTTGAACGAGGCATCTTTAAATTTTTTAGGACCCGAATTACACTGACGTTTTCATGAAAATTGACAATTGATATAACCTCTATGCATACCTACATTGTTTCAACAATACGTTGTTATAGAAACAAGGTATCGTTGTTTGTTTTTGTTGATGAGATGTGTTGATTTACTGATGCTCACTAAGGTAGACAACTTTTATCATAGACTGCGAAGTAATAAATTATTGATTGTTTTTGAGTAACCTGGTATACATATCTGCTCCAACGCTTTCCTGAAATGCATAAAAGCATCCATTTATGGAACTCCTCTAAAATTAGTCCATTTAAAAAAATACAAAAAAAAATATTTTTTTTCGGAAACCACAGTAGTTTTTGGCAAAAACTCGAAAACGTCCCGAGGTATGGTTGCTATTTATGGAATGCCCGAATAAAATATGAGCATCGTGGTCTTCCGACAAAACTTTGTTTCACCCTGTATCACGGGTCCTGATCAATTTAGAAGAGGCTGTAAGGAACGGTTCGAAAGACGATGAAAAAGGCATTCAGAATCTGGGCGGCAATTCAAAATTGGTTCAATATTTTAGAAATTACGAGAAGTCAAACTTGATGCCAAATTTCACTATTAACGTTTCAATTGACGCCCAGTTTATATTTGAAAGTTGTGACATTCAGCTGATCTTTTTTAGGATAATTTCGGGATTTTGCTGTTCATCAAGTAATACCGCAAATGTATTTTTGAACATTAAGAAGTAATTTCAGGATGAGTCCAGAAATTTTTGAAAGTATTCTGGGTAGAATTGAGAATAATTCAAATATATTTCCTGTGGCGAGTTCACTTTACGGCAATTTTAGGTCAGATTTTGAGGTTAGATTATATAAAATACCACCATTTCCGCCATTTTATATACTCCCTCCACAATCGTCTTCTTGTCATTCCGTATGAGAAGACGGAATGAAAAGTTGAAACCAGTTTCAGAATTTCGTTCAATAAAACGACATGGATTGTCATTCCGGTGTAAGAATCTTGCCACACAAAACCGTTGGAATTTTATTTTATGTCTTCCAAAACAATACTGGAAACACCCTGTACGAAACACGATATGAATTCAAGTTCCTTTTTTACCTGTACATAGTCAAGGCGAACACGATGGTTCCCAACATTGCCAATTCATTGGGATGTACTTTCCTATTTTTCAAAACTACCGTTGAGGCCGACATGAAAGGCAAAAATTGTATACCGAGGATCGCTGGGAACCCTGTCGATAAATACCAGTGCCACGGTTGGACCCCGTAGAAAGAGCCGACATCTTCGAAAATGTTGAATTTTAGGAATTCGTACAGTGTTACAACGAACGATCCATGGCATAAACTGTCAACTAATACTGATAGGGCGAACACAAATAATCTGAAAATAATAATTCCGAGCAAATTGTAGGAGAAACGGCGGTAAATTTCGACTAGGGGACGTTGGAGGAATAAGAGCAGGAGGTAATAGTGGAAAAACCAGGTGAAAAATTTGAATTTACCGCGTCATGCATCGGTGGTCCCGTTGGCGACATAGTCCAATAAATGAAGGAGGAAAAAAAGGCAAAGTTAACGTTAATTACGCACTATTTTCATCTTCCGGTTGGAAGAACTATTGAAAAGAAAACTTCTCTCAAATGATATCAATATGTAACAATTTTCTATTACTGAGATTATACCTTCTCGGCATTACGAAATAATTTTCATTTGCATTTCAATATAATCATTTTTTATTTGATTAGTAATTATAAAACTAGTTTTTAAGTTAGTGGACTAGAGTGTTAGAGTCCAGTCATAAGTTTTTTTTTTACAGGTTGAGTGTAAGAGAGTGTACACCTGCTAACTGTGTTAGCAGGCAAAGCGCTAACTCTGCCTTTTGTCAGTGGTTTAACTAATTCAATTTCATGTACCGAGTTAACTAGACTGGCAATAAAATCTTCTATTATTATTATTATTATTATTATTAAGTAGCTTTTGGTACCTCATTAAACATGAGACAAAGTTTGACTGGAAAACGCGTGCGATGGCGGAGAAAATGGCCCCAAAAGACCAGAAAGATAGGTTTTCAGCCAATATCTCCTAAAATATGGCAGTTAGAGATTTTCGGTTCAGATAAAAATTGAAGTTCAGTTAATTTTCTACAAAAATGGTCCCTATCATTTTTCTCGAAAATTTGCCCGGTTTCGAGAAAAACGGCACGAAGCGCACCTCGAATAATGAGCTTTTGTGTTGTATGCCGGAGAGCACAGTCCGTGTATTTACACATCGGCGGGGGGACAAATTATTCAATAACTTTGTTGAAAATGCATATTTTCTCATGATTCAAAGTTCATGTGAAAGAGGAATTCTGCTGCTATCATACCCTGTGAATTGAGTCACGCTTGACTCTTTTGGCCATATCGGAACATGGGTCAAACTTTCTGCTCCCGGTCAATTTTGACCTCGCCAGGAATTTGTTCCTATTTTTTTTGTATTGCACTAATTTACTCAAAATTCTCTTGATTATGGGTCCTCATAAGGTCCTTCGTCATTCCTGAAATTTATGTACCCTAATTTTTTTAAATTTTCATTTAATCTTTGTTTATTGAATTCCAATTTTTTGCTGTTTTTGGAGCGCGGGGAAATTTAGTGAACAACCATCAATTAAAAGCTAAGAAGGTCTACTTTTCGATTGTGCAATTACTTTGTTAGACGAAGTCGTCCATTTTTGTTACCGATGAATCTCGCGATGAATAAAATCAATCTGCTGATATCATGTAACTACAAAAACTCAAATATCTCACGAACGGCTCAATTTTTTGTATTTGAATAAGAGTACCTTTTCCATGTAATTTTCTTCGCTCCATCAAATGCTCCTGTTTTTTCACCGAAAATAATACAGGGAAAAAAGTTTTCTACAAAAAATCATGACTCACCCTCTGAAAACACCCTTTATAACAATATCAGAAATGTGGAAGTGTGACGAAAAAATGTATTTTAACAACATACATTCATGCACAAAATTTCAATCGGGTGGCTTTCATCGTTCAGAAGTTATGCGGAGAAATTATTTTAATTTTATCAACTTTGGAAGGATATATCTCCCTTAATATGCATTTTGGGCCATGAGTTTAATCATCAAACTACACTTATTTTTCAATGTTCTATCACCCCCAGAAAGCTCGGTACACATTTTTGACTCACCCTGTATAAAGATAATATCCCATGAATCATAGGTTCGGTTCATCGGATATTATCTTTCGACAGGTGCGATATACAGGGTGGCTCTTTGAAAACGAAACAGAGGCTCTGTAGGTCGCCAAAACCGGATTATGAAAACAATCGGCAACATGTCAACTAGATTTTCGAGGGGGACATCGTTCTAGAATATTTTCAGCCCTGCGGCGTTGCCGCTTCTAACGAAAAGAAGCAACAACTTTGTTATTTCAAATGGAAATGAAGCTGAATTTTAGGCTTGAAAATTATAAAAAGTTACTCAAGTTTAGATGATTTACAACTCTTTTGTAGATGAAGATGACTTCAACCATGCACTGAGATTCTAAGTAAATTCAGTCTGTGGTTTTCACCAAACATATTGCTCATGTTTATTATTTTGCTTATAATATTATCTTGAAAAATCTACACTCACCCTATTGGCAAATAAGTTTTGAGTACCACATTGAGAACAGAATTCTTGTTGATAATCAAATGGTAAATACAAAGTGGTAACCATATCAGGGCACTTGTTGGTCTTATGAAAAAAATAACAGCCACAATCCAAATAAATATTGAATTTTCTTCTGAAATTACAAACATTATTCATAAAAAAAATCCACAAATTACTAGGTATATGTACTTACCAATACCTTTCCCTGGCCATGGAAATTTGGACAGAGCAATTGTAGTTAGTGCACATTCTAAACTGTTTATCAAAGTTCTTGACCCAGTATAATACCAAAACCAAGAATTGGCAATGCAGAAAATTGCCCATTTCTTGGTGCCAGACCACTTATAAAAACTCAAATCTGAGTAAGCACTCAGTAAAGCTTGAAGTAAGCGAGGACTGTAAATCTGTACCAAAATAAAACCCAATAATCATTTCATTCAATGTATTCTTTTGAAACAAGAGTTGCTCACCAAAATTTCAGCTGTATCCAGTTGGAGTAGCTGTAATATCTTGAACAAACCAGATACAATTATTATTGGTGAATAGCTTCTGATACCTTTACTCCATTCCCATGTTAAATGACCATATTTGAAAACCTGGTGGTGTGCAACTTCCAGAGACTGCCAATACTCGTCAGGAACGAAATATGTTTGTACCAGAAATACTGAAGCGATTCTGATGGCTAGAAATATCAAAAATACATCTAAATTCTTCATGGCTCACCAGCACAATTTTGAGCAAAAAGTTGAATGAAACACTGAAAGAGAATTATCACTTTTTCATTGAACACACGTGGAATTAACTAAAAACGGTCCTATGAATATTTTTAGAGTTGAAAACTTATTAATAGCATTCAAATTCAGGTAGGTGAAAAAGCTAGGCTATGTTGTTATTTTGATAAATTATTAAGATCACGCCGTGCTTACATTTACGTCCGTCGGGCAGATACAGAACTGCAGGGGATCGCGCCAGTTTCATAAAATGCGTTCGGCTGATGATCTGGAGATCAGCGAACTTTGGGAACTATTTTTTCAGAATGTGAGCAATGAATTTGGATGAGGCTGGTCCTGATGCAGAAAATTCAACATGTATAAATTAATTCTACTCCTTACACCATTGATGCAATATTGTTCAGCGTTCTTAGCTAATAAGAAGAAACTATTCAAACTGTGTTCATTCTGTTCTGATAGCAGCAAATTTGGCTCTACAATAAGTTCATTAATTTTGTCATTACTCTCAATCACAACCCCATAGTATTCTCCTGCATACTTTTAACAGTCTCTATCAACTGCGCCTGAAAGTCATTTATATCAGTGATCACAAGTTTTTCAGCTTGCAACAGCTGCAACAAAAGCCTTAAGGGCGCCGTACATTATGCTATTTCTCGGCAAGTTTGAGGCAATGCAATTTTCTCGCAATTTCCGCAATTGATTGCAAGTCGCCGTACATTAAGATATTTCTGAGATATTTCTGTCATATTTTCTTGTTCATATTCACTATTTTCAAGTTTTTTGAGCCTTCAACGTACTTTTTGAGGTTATTTGGTGTTTCAGGCCACGTTATGGAGAGAATTTGTATTTTATCAAGATGCTACGATGAATATTATTGAAAATTTCACTAAACTTGCGTTGAAATTGCAGGAAAAATAGAACTGGTTCTATTATGCAACTTGCATGAAACTTGCGGTGAAATATCATAGACGCATGCGCATTGTTCGATTCAAAATTGCATTGCACCGAACTTGCTTGTAAATAGCATAATGTACGGCGCCCTTTGGGGGAGGGAACCTCTTAGAATACTATGGAGCTTTGCATAGAAAGCTGATTTTTTCTTGTTATTACCAGGAATGTTACAATTGGCATGTTGACTATTGTAAACCTTTTGTTAATCGGAAAATGTCTGCCTGCATCTTTCAGATCGCTCTTTTTCATCATCATTTTCCAAACCTGTTTTTTTTGTTTCATCCTTAGATCTAAAAATGCATTGATTGCTTCATTATCTAGCCTTGTTGGCCTTTTGGTGATCCAGAGCATTTTGCTTCTTAGTTCTGTGGATTGCTCAGAGTCTTCTTCTCATCAATAACAGCTATTTTGTCACGTCACTGTCAATGTCGGCAAGTTAACATGAAGTTATAGTCATGTTGTAGCCATCTAGTGGCAAAGCTCTAAAGTAGGATCCAGAAATCGCGACACACACTGTATGGCGCTGCCATCTATAGTCACACGTACATACAGACCCCTACGTCTATACGCTACTGAGTGGTACTACAAGTGACCCACTCAGTTGACAGATGGCACTACCTGACATACTTGAGTAGAATTTTTCACCTCCTAGACCTGATAACTAAGTGATCCAGGATGAACAGAGCTGCCCCAATGGGATTTCATAATTCGATAGAACTCACGCCCGAACTAGCTCACCACCGCAAACCGTTTCTTATTGCTGTGAGCTCTGAAAACGAGGTGATGATGTGACCTCCAAATCCTAATAATGAAACAAGACTATTCCAGGCAGAGATGAATGAAACATGATTTCTGACAGAGTGAATTAGCGCGAGATCACAGTTCAAAGAATTAATATATCAGTTGCCTCAGTCTCCGTCGGGTGTTTGGTATTTTCTTTTAACTATAGCGAGATGAGGTTCCTACGTCATAAGAGGGTCCGTTTTCAGAAGGTACTATTACTTATGTCCAAAAATAAAACATTCTAGTTAATTTTTCGATCGAATTATCTCGTCAATCATTATTTATGTATAAAATGATCATTATAAACATGGTTTGAGTTGAAAGTTCTACTAAGGTGTACACGCCCATTGTCAGCAGGAGCTAGACGGAACTGTTTCGACCCAATAGGTCTCATCAGCCGCTCTCGGTCTGCTGATAACTGGGTCAACTCTACGCTTCGGGTATATCACCCATTTCGAAGACGTAGGTAGGATCCAGAAATCGCGAAACACACTGTATGACGCTGCCATCTATAGTCTATAGACTATATACATATGTGACTATATAATATTACTTGGGCGTTGAGGTTTGCTTAAAAAAAGATGGAAATTGGCCTACATTCGGTCGGAGTCATGCAGGTTACTTTCCATTGCTTTCAGACTAATAATTGATGAAAATATGATTCGTTTGAATTTCAGAACCGTTTACTAAAAAAATTTGTTTCATTCCGATTTTATACCAAAGTTAAACAAATTCTTATTATTTTTTAATATATCTATTTGATATTTTTGTTAAATTAATTTTGTCAGTTCCCCAACACTGTCCTAAACTTTGGTTAGATCGGTACGTGAAGTAGTTTTTGATGATATTCAGATTGATAACTTCGGCATCTTCTTATTTTAGTACTGAAAAATTCCATTCGAAACGATACATCAACTTTTGCATCAAAGATAACAGGAATTTGAAGGGGAATCTTAATCTTCTTAAAGAAAATAATATTTTTGTTGATAATTAGTAATTGAAAGTAAGTAGCATGATAAAGCTAATGGTATCAAACAGTTTTGTCGCAGATACAATATTTTTAGAATTACAGATATTTCGTAGAGATTCAAAAAGTTTCAATAGAACGTTTCATATTTGAGAAACATGTGTGTCGGAATAGAACCAACTTTTCTCTGTAAACGTTTTCGAAATTTCTATATCTTCTGCGATTGATATGAAAAAAAATTTATTCTGGAAAGTATAGAGAAAGTCACGTGACCCGACCGAATAGGCCACTTTTCAACTTTTTCCCATATATGATGTCAACTTTCTGAAATACACTATACATGTATGTTCACATTGTCACAGTAGGTATAGTACGTGGATCATTATAGGAATTTTCTTTCGTGTGCTCCAAGAGATAAAAGAAAGAGGGGTAAATATAGGGTAAATTTCAAATATCTTTCATCGAGGCGAAATGATGATTTCATTTTATTTTTAAAATTCACATACTTATTTCTACTTTTTTGAATTATTTTCTTAATACTTATTCGAATATATCGCCTGATAGAAATGGGGAAGTTGGGAAGTACCTTGTTTGCTTGGTGTAGAATAAATAATGAGAAATAATATCCATTTCAATTGAATGGAGGTTTCTTGGGAATACTAAAAAAACTAGTCAGATAAAACGAAGATCCATAAGCAAACAAATCAGCCATTATATATTTTCTCCATTCTTTCGTACACCTACGGTATACGTACATCACTGAATATCAATTCAATTCTAATTAAACAGTAAATTGGATAATGGGTAATATTACGATAACCTGTTATTTCTGAAATCGGTTGACCTCACAAAATTTATCACAAGAACTTGATGTTTATTTTACTAAAACCGAAAATACTTATGAGCAACCATTAATATCGAGCTTTGGAAAAATAATTGCAAAACACGTTATCATCTTCAGAAGAGTAGGGGAATGTTATATTATTTAGATGAGATCCTGTTTTCAATAGTGGTTAGTGGTTTGTTCTTGTGCATTGTGTAGAATTGGTCTCTTCAGATACATTTTCAAGGTTAGTATACTTATTTATACCTATTCGTTTGTATAGACTGTACCTATACAGGGTGGGCCACCAGTAACGCCTCGGTCTCTAGAAGGCTAACCACTCATCTTCTTGGAATTCTTCCTCTCTAGGAAGTTGCATGTCAACATAGGCTACCATTCAAAATTATTTCGAAACATACAGGGTGTCCCCAAAAACCATAAAACACTGAAGTTAAACTTTTTTCTATCGAACACCCTATATATTATTTCATTTTGAGATTCTCCCTGATGAGCTGATTTCAACGACCCATCATACTTGGGGTCTAGCAGTTATAATTACTGAAATATAGGGTGTGAAAAATCGAGATTTTCCAAGTTCAAGAATTTTTTGTGTCGAAACTATTCATAATTGGTCAAAACGGCTTACATGTCCCTATCTCAACTTTTGATTAACTATCTACTGATATTTAATTGGGACATATACCGGGTGATCAAGATTCTGAATTCTGCACCACCCTGTATTTGTTTCAATTAAATGTCAGTAGATAGTTGATCAAAAGTTGAGATAGGGACATGTAAGCCGTTTTGACCAATTATGAATAGTTCAGACACAAAAAATTCTTGAACTTGGAAAATCTCGATTTCTCACATCCTATATCTCAGTAATTATAACTGCTTGACCCCAAGTATGATGGATTGTTAAAATCAGCTCACCAGGGAGAATCTCAAAATAAAATAATATATAGGGTGTTCGATTGAAAAAAGTTCAACTTCAGTGTTTTGTGATTTTTGGGGACATCCTGTATGTTTCAAAATAATTTCAAATGGTAGCCTATGTGGATATGCAACTTCCTAGAGAGGAAGAATTCCAAGAAGATAAGTGGTTCGCCTTCTAGAGACCGAGGCGTTACTGGTGGCCCACCCTGTATATACCATATTGAATATAATTGAATAAATAATAATCATGCTGTGTATACCTAGGTACTCACCATAGTCATCGATCTACCACACCATTTTTCGTAACTAGTAAAATAGTTATTTATAAAACAAGGGAATAAATTGAGAGTAAAAAAAAATTGAATAATAGTATATTATGTAACAAGTGTTATAAACGTCTTTTTAGTAACGAGTAGTTTAAGCACGAGCGGAGCAGAGCGGAGCGAGTGTTTAATAAACGAGTGTCTAGAAGAGTTTATAAACGCGTTACATACTATATGATTTTTCTACGAACTCCGAAAATTACATTAACATACCTGCAATTCCTACTAACCTACAAAATAATTCGAAAGGAATGAGAATTGAGAACATAATACATGCAACTGCATGCAACCAGCGAGACACGTATAAGTGATATTGGTTGTAGATGTGTCCAGTCCATTCCTTACTAACCTTTGTTTCACGTTTATTGTCATGCTTAGCGCAGAATATATAAATTGTTCTCAAAGATGGATGCTTAATTTTTACACTTCTTGGAGATATGCAAGTACCAGAACATATATTCTTCGATTTCACTATCGTCTACTCTTCGCATATATTTTTAATGAAGAATTCTGACACAAACGAATATTGTTCGAATAATTCTGATACAAAATTCGAAAGTAACAGTTGACAGTTAATACAATTGACAGGCCAGACATGTCTCAAATTACTGAAGCTGTGTTTAATGAACTGCGTTGCCATGGTGATGTGTTTAATATAATAATATCGTGTTGCCATGGTAACGTGTTCAATATTTTGAATAAATCACAGATCGACAATCCGTGATTAATCGATCATTTAGCGTGTTACATATATCCGTACGCTATATGCCATTTTAGTTATGTGAGTAGAAAAAGGAACATTTTATTTTATTCTTTTCAGAGCGTATAGATAAAAGCATTTTATTAAAATTGCAAAGTCGTTTGCCCGTTGATTTCGAACAGTCCAGCTTTTCAATAAGACCTTCTATATAATGATTTTACCCTACTTAAAGCCACACGGTATGCTTGCCAAGCAGCGAAGAGCTTCGAGTCTATGTAAACGGCGTAGTCGACAGTACCACACAGTACTACCTTGCATTTTGTGTACTGTACAAGCCCAACATGATACAATTGGCAGCATTCTTCGTTCCGCGGTTCCATGACTATATTTTGCTGGAAATTGCACAGACTTACTGTGCCATATCAGATTTTGAGTGATATAACATTATTTCTAATTATTCTCGGCAAGCCCTTTCATTTGATACCCATATTGCAGAAGTAACAACTATACCGCCATCTTGGAAGTTCCGCCATATTGGATTTCGAATAACGTTACATTATTATCCGAGTTACTCTCAACGAGCCGTTTCATTTGTAAAAGTAGATTGAAAATAACTATTCCGCCATCTTGGATGTTCTGCCATATTGGATTTAGAATGACGTCATATTATTTTCCGAGTTGCTCTCAACGAGTCCTTTCATTTGATACCCATATTGTCGAAGTGAATTGAGAATAACCATTACGTCGTCCTGGATGGTCCGCCATATTGGGTTTAAAATGACGTCACATTATTTTCGAGTTACTCTCAAAAGGAAGTGCATTGAAAATGACTATTTAGCCATATTGAATGGTCCGCCATATTGAATTCTGAATGGCGGATAAATATTTTTCAAGTTACTCCTCAATGAGCCCTTTCATTTGATACTGATATTGTAGAAGTGCATTAAAAATAACTATTCCGCCATCTTGTATGGTCCGTCATATTGGATTTAAAATAACTTCACACACCTTATCGTGCATTGTAAATATGCAAAATTTCAGCTCAATCGGTTGAAGATATCTACTTCAAAATTGTGTTCAAAGATTCCACCCGAACTATTACTTTAAACCGGACACCCTGTATACGCTCAACAAAATTGTTCCAAAGTTTTTGAATCGATAGGTATAGGTAAGGCAATTATTTTTTTGTCAGTCGTTTGGAAAAATCAAAATTGGTTTTTAGTACTTAGCTGCAATCCTACGGAGAGAATAATTATCAGGTCATGAACTTCGAATAGGAACTGATTATCTGAATCATCGCTCGGTTATGGTTAAATTATTTTAATAATCATGAAAAAATTTCCTATCCTTTATTGTTGGAGCATAGCAATCATTGGGATTTTCTCGGTTGGTTTTGATTGCAATGTTGATTGTCTGGGTTTTTCTGCAGTATACATATCAAACGCACCGAGATATTAATCACAACTGAATGTGTCAGCGCATTAGTTCGTATAGTGTTTTTTTTATAGTTCTGGTGTGTGATTTGTGGAGTGTATGAAAATTTCTGCGAATTCCTCAAACATTCTCGTTAGAAATATTACACAAAGTACCTACATAAAATATATCTTTGGTTCTGGCATTATTAGGTGAATATTGCTGCGCCATTTCCCCTGAAAGTTATACAACCCGTTTATCGTTTCATATCAATATAATGTGTTATTTCTGTCGTTTCACCACTGGATTTTTAGTTCATAGATGTATTTATACTATTTATTATAATATCATCATTCTCAATTCGTTATACTGGAGGGGTAAACTGTGGTGGAATTCTGGTCTACAAACAACTGGAATTCCTTGGAATTCCATGGATTTCCTTGGAATTCCTTGGATTTACTTGGAATTCCTTGGATTTCCTTGGAATTCTTTGGATTTTTCTGAAATTCCTTGGATATTCTTGGAATTCCATGTATTTCCTTGGATTTCTTTGGAATTCCTTGGATTTCCTACGAATTCCCTGAAATTCCTTGGATGAAGTGCGGTATATTCCTGGTCTACAAAGACCTGGATTTCCTTGGAATTCCTTGAAATTCTTAGGGTTTCCTGGAATTCTTTAGGTGAACTGCAGTATAATTCTGGTGTACAAATAACTGGAATTCCTCAGAATTCCTTGGAATTCCTTGGATTTCTTTGGAATTCCATGGATTTTCTTAGAATTTCCTGGAATTCCTTGTGAAATTGAAGTTTGGTGTACACAATTTTGACCTTGATGCACCCCTTGGTTATGCTTCTTGAGTTTTATCATATAATTTATAAAGTATTTCATTTTTTTGAGGTGTATTTCTTATTCATGTAGGCTACTTTATCATTATGCTTCACATATAAGTTCAGTTATAAAAAGCGCCATCTTAGAAATAATAATCAGGAAATAAATACCAGGGGATAGGGTTTTCTGTGTAATCACAATCAGAGGCTAAAGCCAAGATTATTGAAGGCTAAAGCACTTAATTGCCTACTTATACCACATAACTCAAAGGTATTCACAGGAAGATCTTGAATTCCCCATTACATAAATCATACATCCACCTACCTACTATTACTTTATTAGTCAACAGTGACTTTAGTCTAATTAACTATTACCTTATTAATCTACATTATCATATTACTAAGTATTTAATAGTTACCTAATAATTATTATAATTCGATCCAGTTTTATCACAACACTGTTCACCAACATTGCAGGTAATAGTGTGTAAATAGAATATTCAATTTCTATAATTTGAATTCACAAACAAACGTACAAATGATGCATTGACAATGGCGGAAGATGGGTGACATTGACATATGACATCGAGAAGACCGAAGACCAAAATGGCCGTGGCTACAAACCCGACAGAACGTTATCACAATAAAATATTATGGAAAATAAAACAAAACTTGATGAAAATGAAACAAAACGTTGGAATTATAGAGAAATATGGATTATGGATCACAATTACAAACCCGACAGAACGTTATCACAATGAAATATCATGGTATTTGAAACAAAACTTGTTGAAAATGAAACAAAACGTTGGAATTATAGAGAAATATGGATCACAATAATACCATATTAACTCATGCTGTGATTTTATAATTTTGCAGATAACATGAAGTACGCAGTTATTCTCTTCTTTGTGATGGGGGCCGTTATGGCAGCCCCTGCAGAAGAAGATGCCCTACAAGAATTCATCAGAGGAAACCGCAAATTCACTGCTGGAGTCTACAAGGTGAGCAAGAAGAATCTATTTCCTGGTGACTCAATAATGACATCTATCGGTATTATCTTGAAGTTTCAGTCGAGTCAGATATACAGGGTGTTCAGGGAAAGCACAAGATTTAATACCGCGGCATGGGTTTTGGGTGGTTTTTTCTATACCGAAGGTTCCTGTGCCCAGCGCCCCAGAGCCTAATCGTATTGGTCCACGTGGATATACAGGGTATTCTGGGTCTTGGACTTGAATGGAACGACACTTTCGAAAATATTACAGTGTTCCTCGACATCAGATGAAATTTCGTGGTATAGGTACTCACAATTTGAACAACTTTGCATATGACTATAGTGCATCAGGCAACAGGCAATACAGTCGAAGGAAGAGTAAACTATATGAAAGTGATCTAGCTAATTTCTAACCAATTTATCAGTGCGAATGAAACCATCTGACCTTTTGAAGGATTGTTTTTATTCATAATCGTATAACAGTTTGGCATTCACGAACTACGAAGATAATAACATTACTATTACACAATAACAACAAACCTTAAGTTAATTTTATAAATTACAGATGATTTTGACATAACCATCTATCCTAGGTAAGGATAACCCTGGAAAGGTATCTTTCGGGAATATCCCTGGAAAGGTGTCTTTTGGGAATAGCCCTGGAAAGGTATCTTCTGGGAATAGCCCTGGAAAGGTATATTTTGAGAATATCCCTGGAAAGGTATCTTCTGAGAATAGCCTTGGAAAGGTATCTTTTGGGAATATCCATAAGATGGTATTTCTGTGATGTGACGAACGTCGTTCAGATTTATGATCTTTTCTTCCAGTCTTTTTGGGACGTCACAGACTGTACCCTTGATCAAAACTTCAACAGGTGCGAAAAGCACCCTGAAATTGACCTCGTTGTAATCCAAACTGGTGATCAAGAACCTTGGCATCCTATCCGAGATAACCCAAAGATTCCTATTACGATCTACTTTGACATCAGCAGGAAAGATCAGCTGCTTGTCGTCCTTATCAACAATCCCGTGGTTTTCTTTTCTGTACTCAGTTCTGGAGTTCCAACACCCTACAGCATTTTGATCAATCAAATTGAAGAACTGGACACCTTCATCGTCCATAATTCTCGAAGTAGTATGCGAAAGATCACTTCTTTCCTTCAAGTAAAAGAAATCGTTCCAGCTATCATCTACCCTGGAGCTATTTTGCAGAGTCCTAGTAGAAACCACGAACTCTCTATGTGAAGCCAAAGGACTGAAATGTAAAAGCCTGTAACCATCAGCTTGAGGAGGAGTCAGACTCATTCCGAAGATACCTTCTTCTCCCCACTGGAAGTTGAGCCCGTCAATGTTGAAATCTCCTTTCAGAGGATCAGGGAGGAAGAAACTGTGGGAGAACCTCCAGGACTTGTTTTCTTTGTACGAGTAGGCTATGAGACCGTAGCCTAGCTCGTCGCTAAAGTACGCATGCGCATCGTCGCATGTGTGTCCTAGATCAACGGCTATGTTGGCGATGAAGGTATTAGCGTTGGTGTCCTCGGGTCTGAACTCGTACCTCCTGATCCTCTGGTCCGTTCTGAGATCGAAGATGTTTAGGGCGTATGGGCATGGGTTTTGGGTGGTTTTTTCTATGCCGAAGGTTCCGGTGTCTAGGACCCAGAGTCTGTCGCATTTATCGACGTGGATGCGGTAGACGGTGCTGAGGCCCTTTTCGCAGTTGCCTAGTTCGTTGGCTTCCCAGCTGGGGTAGGGGATCAGTCTGGGGTTCTTCACTGGGGAGTCCAGGGGGACGTAGTTCAAGGTGGAGGGGATTCCTGGGAGGAAGAAAAAATATTTGTGTTTTAGGACATGGAATATAGTATTTTTCCCTCGATTTTGTTAAGAGGTATTTTGTCACCACCAGTTGAAAGATTCGAAATTTTAATGAAACCTACCATTACCAACAATATGGACGAAAATTCCAATAGATTTTAGATCTTTCGACTGCTCTATATTTTTTATGGGATTGTATTGGTAACTTCCAAATCATACTAAACAGGTGAACATTGATAACGGTGCGGTCCAAAATATAGCCTGAAGTCAAAGTAGAATAACTCACGAATTTCTTCTTCTGTAAATTCAGATCACATTGCTACAGGGTGATAATTGAATGGGTGTAAAATTGCATCGTGGTCGTCACCTTACCGTTTGAACAGATACTTTTTTCTATTGTTTTTACCTGTATCCTCTTGATTGATGCTTTTTTCTCTTGAAATACTTTCGGTATTTTTAAATTCAGAGCTCTGATGATCGTGTTTTTAATATTTATTCAAAATGATGCATTTTTTCGAAGATTAATTGAAACAAATTGGAAGTTGGAATTCTTTATCGGAGAATCAACCTTGTATAAATATATCGTCGTCGAATATGTAATCGTGTTCGAACACAGAAAATTCTGAAGTAGTCTATACAAAGTGATACAAGAAATACTGAATGATTAATAATTAAATTCTATTTGCTTTAACGTTTTCAGATTTTACATCCACTTTTCTTATTCTCCATATCACCCTCTGGAAGCTTCCAATACAATCCCATTAAAACAGTTTCTACCCTGTATATTCAAAATACTTCTCTGACAAGGAATATCTTGACCCTTGTACCATGTGCAAATCGACCTAATCGAGGATTTTCAAAATATAAGATATCTATATACATATATTATTTCTCGAAGATCCATTTTCAATCAGCCTGTATATTGGACCTTGCAAATTCTTTAAAATATATGCATTATTTCAAAGATTTCTACTGATCTCTTTCAGTACAGCAGGCTTTGGTAAATGATCTGTATTATTCAGAAACGTGATAATATACCAGATGTGTCATCCCTAAACCTTGGTTCCTGGGATGATTACTAAAATTGTTGGTCATGCGCAATTTCAAAATCTCCCTGTAGAATTAAACGTTACACGGCTGTATAGGTTTCTATATCAGATATAGCTGTTCAAAATGATTATCTGTCGTTCTACGGCGAAGAGAAAACAAACGAGAGTTGGAATGACTCTAATTAAAACAAAGAATAAGGCTACTATACGACCATATGACTTTTTTTTAACGATTTCCGTGAAGTGTTTACATAACTTGTCTCGTTACATGTAATCAAGCTTTTCATATTCTGTTGGAAATGTGTTTATTGGTATACATATATACAGGGTGAGTCAGAATAAGATTGACAAACTCCGTTTCCAGAACCCTTTATTAAGTTCATTTGGAAAAGTATCTATCAATAATATGAGATACAGGGTGTTACAAAGCAGTATTCAAAATATCGGGAATATTTTTTTTTAATTCCTGTATATTAATTATTGTGATGGTTTGAAGTCATTATTTTCAATAATAATGGAAGTATTAACCATACATTTTTCTTGATATTTAGTGAAGGATGACATGGAACATCTTGACGTTTGTGTTATTACAGAACTCTGCATGATATAGAGATGAGAGCGATTCTATTGTATTACTTCCTGTAACAAATTGCTGATGAAGCTTCGAAGTTTCGAAATATGTCCCAATTCCAATGTTGAATAAAGTATAGTTTTGGTGGAGTTGACCGTAAAATTTTCTTCTTGTCCTATTATCGTCACTCCACTGCAAGATGGATCGACTCAGATGGTTATTTTAGAACAATGTCCTACTCGCAAATGTAATTAACTTATTCCGGTATTTTTTTATAAACCGGTTCAGGCGTTCTACAGGGCACCTGTATATTGTGCGTTACATGTCATAATGTGAAGTGGTGAAAAATACTGATGATCAAGTTTTTAACAGTAGGGACACCTGCTTTTTAGGCATCTTTATCATTCTTTTGAACTAATCAAATATCTGATGTCACTTCTGTCAGTCTAATTCTGTGATTTGATTTCAAAAAAATGAGAATTCAGTGGTTGTTTAGTAATATACGGAACCGCGAGGTTGAATGGAAAAAGGACTTGCAGTTCTTTCTCGGAGACGGTATTATTGACTCATTTTTCGGAACTATAGCACAACAGAAGCCATCAATAGTGTATAATATACATGTGAAATATATCCGGGAAAAAAGTACTCAATTTTCTCCCACGGGAAAAAAGTAATGTATGAAAAGTGACATTTTATAACCTGCCAACAGAGATGAAATGCCAAACTTTTTTCCCGCCACAGAAAAATAAATATTTCATGGAAAAACGACTACAAAAATTGTAGCAAACAGACATAGATACATAAAAGAAATAGTGCGACCCAAGGTGAGACCTAATGAAAACTCAATGATAAAGGTATGTTCATGATTGTATACGAATTCCGCAAAATTTACGCGAATAAAATGGCGACTGCGAATATCGCAATGAAGTTGAAATATTTGAACTGTTTTACGAATTCGGATGGAATCACAACCACACAGTATCCATCAAATGTGTTGTTATTTTGTTATCAAAATTGGGAAATTAGGGAGCGGACAGCAGAGGCCGAAAAATGACGAGTCTAGACACTTTGAGACTACACAGGTACTAGGTAGTCTAAGTACACACAATTATAATTATAAATATCATAATTTCTTCACTTTATTGAATTTTCTTCGCAGGATGGATTCTCTGGACGAATTAATTTTAATTAATGTATCATTTGTATCGTCTCTATAGAGCTATAACCCAGTGAGCACAAAAACATCTCAGAGATGTTAAAAGTACGAGATTTCGAGACATTGAACCTCCACTGCGATGTTCTGTTCACACATGAATAGAACTATTATAGAACAGCCAATGTCCGCCGCAGTCGGCAATTATCGAGATGTCCTTGATATTTCACAAAACAGAACATTTTAAATCGCATATTAAATCGATGTAAACAAAAACATTTTCGAGGTACTTTTCTGAAGCCTTTTGTCAAAATGAACTTTTGCATTAGGATTCCACCCATGAATGAAAAAATGCATTAAAAATAGATTGAACATAAAAATATTTTCTTGATATGAAATTACCTTCTTGATCGGTTTCTGAGTAGTGCTTACTACACACAGACATATAATTGGAAATAGATTTCCCAATTTTTGAAATGTTCTTCACAATGCATAATTTTGCAATTGCGGAGAAGCTGTGTATTGAATTCGTACTTTTACTTTTATATATCGATTACACTGAGGCACCGAACAACACATCTTGCATCGGATGGTCATTATTACAAACTAAATAAGTCTTCTAACACAATAAACTTCACCAAATCCCTCTCTGTTCGTTAGCAGCGTGATGTACCTAAGCGTGACACGCTGCAAACGCGAATGCCAATTGCGAACAAGAACAAAATCGAAAACAATTCAGAATTCATCGTATTGTGACGTAAGCATGAGACGTTGTGGTGGGGCAAACAAAGAAAGGGCACAAAAGAACAAAAACAATACTTTCAATATCCTTCTAAGACCTCTTTGGGAAGTGCATATTACGCCTCAAAAAAACATCCTCATGCCTACATTTCCAAGCCATCCCAAAACATCCCAGGGATGTTTGTGCTCGCTGGGAATGATCTATCCAGACGCAAAAAAGGAGCTATAAAGTATTCGAAGAATTTTTAGATGCCGAAAAATTTATGGAGATTCGTTCGATGAATATAATGAACATTTCAATCACTTTCTTGTAACGTGTCTTCACTTTGATGAACTTCTATTAATGGTTGGACCAGAAATTGGGAATTTACATGACAACAGAACCCTTAACACCTGCAAATTTTGTCGTGTATGAACGTCGAATTCTGTTGGGAATTTCATATTTTGCGAAATTCGTACAAGCATGAACAATGAACATACCTCAAGACAGGACATACCTTCTTTCCATCTGGGCACGGAAATGAACAATTTGTCATTCCAAACTTCGATGCCGACAGGTAGGCCGTTTTCCGGTTTGAATCTTCCGGTCAAAATGGCCTGTAAACGGGCTTCATCCGAAGGATATTCGAAGTCTATTATGTTCCATTGAAAATGTTCTTGTAGTTTGTTAGTGCACAAGACTGGACAGCTGATGCAGGCTAGCAACAGCAGGCTGCTTGTCAATTTCATATTTTTATTCCTGAAATTGGGAATATTAGGAAATTTGAAAGACTTAGCACCTATATTATTCAAAGTCAGCAGATTTCTGGGTTATCCAAAACACACGAAGCATTTCAAAAGATTGCTCACTGAACATGATACATAACAAAAATATTTTTCAATTATAAGTTTTGTGATATTGTTGGAATAATATTGCGATATAATGTCCTTCTGAAGTAGTTAGGTTGAGAACTAAACAAGTCAACATGGAATAGAATTTCAAAATAAGCCAGGAAACTTCCAAAAACACGTATAGGTGTATATATTTACCTATTACTTTTTAGAATTTCAGAAAGAGATCACTGGATTAAGCAGAAATCATATAGCTAAGCTAGGTATGACTGGATTTATGAAGCAGAATAACTACAATGTAAAACTGTCTCAAAATATCACTGTGTGACTGGATCATATTTATAGTCTTTCAGGAGTACGTTAAGATCAATACATATATATTCAGGGATAGATCATCTTCTCTGTCTTTTGTGAAGATCATTTAGATGATTCCAGACACAACATAACCTAAAAACTCCTAGAAAATAATTAGAATGTTAATATACAATATTGTTTAGATGTATTGAGTAACATTAAATAATACGTTATGAAATAACATTGATTTTATGTGATTCCTGATATATTGATATAATATTTGCCATCAACATTACATTGTAATATTCAAAAGAGGCACAAAGGCCTATTCCCGCAACGTATCTGTGACATTAAGCATCTCTCTGAATAAGATCACAAAGTAACAATGCAATATAACATTTATGTTCGAGTGATGTTTTAGTGTTTAGTGGGTGTGGGATTCATGTAAGCGAAAGCTCCTAAAAATGGTGAGATCAAATCCCCCTCACACAATCTACTAGAAGCCAATCCCTACTTTGGTTTTTCAAAATGCACCGCCATGTTTTCTTGGTTCATCTATACAAGTTCTCATTCTCAATTCGACTGATTTTGCAGGCTTGTTATGATGTACAACACCCATATTTTTTCGTTAAAAAATCAGAGCTACATTACACACGAAGCCTGAATAAGCGATATATAAGCTAGGTGTAGCAGTATGTGATATAACAGTCATTTCAAATAATCTTTCAAGGAAAAATCGATATATTTTCATAAAAATTATTGTAATTATCCAAAGTTAGAAGTGGTTTCTAGTAGATTGTTTGGCATGAGGGTGATTCATTTGGTCCCATTTATTCTAAATTTTTTAAGATTTTTTTAATGTTAGATAGGTAACCCAGATATTTGCTTGCCTTAATGTTCTGAAACACCTTGTATATATTTTTTTGGATAGATGAGGAAAAATCCTGTCAAATTATAATAAAGGATACCAAAACAAACTTATTGATTTCTTCAAGGAGTTTAACAAACTATAATTGGCTGAATAATTTATATGACAATTAACTTTCAGAGATCATTAATTTCATTGTTAATTATATAAGTTTATTGAGTATATGAGTTTATCGATAACATTTTCAATGCAAATTCAGGCTGAAACTGGAGCAAACCTAAACATGAAATAAGGTTTCCACTCTTCGAATAGACTTGAAATAATAATATGGGCGATTTTCAAATTCAGACGAATTGAAAATTGAATAAGAAATTTTGGAACATTCGGCGTTTTCGGATGCTAAATCTATCATTTATCAGAAAAGACATTTAAAAAAGTTTGGTTATGACACTTTAGAGTCTTACTTTTATCGGTATATATATCCATTTTTTCATGTTCATAATTATATCTAAGAATAATCCTTTTCTATAAATTTTACTCCTATTTTTTTAGAAAATTTCATCCTCAAATCGTCTTTGGTGGGTGCTTGTTGGAAATGATTTTCACGATAAGAAAATTTGAACATCTTCTAAAGTTGCCAAGCATCCCAAATTCAATAATTATTATCGAAACAAATTAGGTTTATTCAAAATTCTCTCAGGACAAAACATACCCCAATGTATTCAAGTTTTTTTAATGATCAAATTGCTCAGTTAATTTATTGATGAAGTTATATTGTCCCAGATATAACGTAGTAGCTTTGATTGAGCATCCAAGAGTGCCAAAATTCTCAAAAACTCCTCGATTGATTTGAAATTGTTGTACATGAAGTTTTGTAGAAATTTCTCGAAAGTTCGGTGATGAAAAAGAAAGAGTATTTATATAAACTCATCTTACATTGTTAATAAAAGATATTTGAAATTATAAAAGCTACATTCATTATATTATATAAACTCAAAATGAATGATATGAAACATGCTTACCGTATTTTTCTTTACTCCAAAACGTTCGATTTCACGCCAAAAAACTGACAAAAGCAGCACCCACTTTCCACAGCGTTCTTATACCAATTTTCCTCCCGAAAAATTTGAAAGTCTCACTGCGTTGACAGTATCACACACTAGTCAATATCGACACGCATTCTAAAAAGGCCTTTTCCATAAAACAAAAGCACCCGCGAACGTATTTTCAAATAGTCCTTGCTCAAAAGCAAAAATTGATCTAGAACCCAATCGCTTTTCTCGAACGTATTTATCAATTTTTTTGGTCAGCGAAAGTTTCTTCCATGTCCAGGGATATCTACGATTCAGAAGCATATAGACATGTATTTATTATGTAACTGCCGTTGCGGCAGCATGGTAACAAGGTCGTTACTATTTTGCATTTGAAACACATAATATTCTAATTCTAATACGAATTCTAACGAAAGTGATATTTCAGCCCGAGGGCTTGGTCTCTTTCTTTCCTTTTCCGATCGTTGCGGAACATCTACCTGAACTTTACATGGATATTTCGTAATAATATATGGTTCAGCGATGACCACAATAATTATATGGTGCTTTGATTCTGGTTTTCACACGTGATACTCTTCTAAATATTGGCCACGTTTATACCATGTCTTGGTGGGCTGACTAATGACTATATTTTGACTAAATACTCTTGGTCAGTTAGGTATAAACTGTATACTTGGTAAAGTAACCAGCTTGGTTTGGTACCGAAATTTGTTGCTTACAGACTAAAATAGTATGATGACCAAGACGGTGTAAACAGTTTGGTCTACTTTTGTATAGCCTTGACTTGACTTGAGTGCAAGTGGCAGTTATTTCATTCAATTTCAGCCAATTTCGTATCCTACCCAAAGGTTTTATTCTTAATTTGCGAATTCAATTGGAGGTCCAAAACCTAACCTCGAAAAAATAATCAAATCAAAACAAAATCTAGGGCACTTGGTCTGAATTTAGTTAGATCTCCTTGGTAAGCATACCAACTACCCATATGGTATAAACGTGGTCACTATGTCTAATACATTCCATCGCATGGTCTAAATAAACGCGTGGGGAGTTACTAAAATTGAATCACCCTGTATAGGTGGTGTACCTGACGATTTGTGACATACATAGCACGAATAAACACGTAGGGACTGATTATGGTGTTTTAATTCTGTTTCTCACACGTGATACTCTTCGAAATACTATGTTTGATACATTCCATCGTATGGTCCAAATGAACGCGTGGGGAGTTACTGAAATTGAATCACCCTGTATAGATGGTGTACCTGAAGATTTTTCTGGCATACATGGCTGGCACAAATAAACACGTATGGACTTATCATGGTGTTTTAATTCTGATTCTCACACGTGATACTCTTCGAAATACTATTTCTAATAGATTCCATCGTATGGTCCAAACAAACGCGTGGGGAGTTACTGAAACTGAATCACCCTGTATAGATGGTGTACCTGAAGATTTGCGACATACATGGCACAAATAAACACGTAGGGACTGATTATGCGGTGTTTTAATTCTGGTTTTCACACGTGATATACTCTTCGAAATATTATGTCTATTACATTCCATCGTATATGGTCCAAACGGACGCGTAGGGAGTTACTGGAATTGAATCACCCTGTATAGATGCTGTACCTTAAGATTTGTGACCTACATGGCACAAATATACACGTAGGGACTATATAGGGAGTCACAGAAATTCAATCACCCTGTATAGATGGTGTATCAGAGTTTCTAGGTCAGCAGATTTTTCACACAAAGACAGGAAACAGAATTGAGGCATAGGTGTCAAATTAAATGTGTGAAAATATAGAATCACTATCAAAAAACGTTTCAAATTAGCATCGAAATCAACTCGTTATACAACACTAAGATAGATTACTTGATTTAGTGTTTTATTTCAGAGGAAGAACTTTTTGAAAATTGAAGGAATTCACTTTACATTGATATTTCGTAATATATGGTTCAGCGATGACCACAATAATTATGGTGTTTTAATTCTGGTTCTCACACGTGATACTCTTCGAAATATTATGTCTAATAGGTACATTCCATCGTATGGTCCAAATGAACGCGTGGGGAGTTACTGAAACTGAATCACCCTGTATAGATGGTGTACCTGAAGATTTGTGACAAACATTCTGGTTCTCACACGTGATACTCTTCGAAATATTATTATTATTTGTAAAAGGAGAATGATATGGAATAGTTCTAGTCTTATCTATCGAATGATCTGGTAAGTTATGAAAAAGTCAACTTAATTGTTAAAATATGGTAACGGATATTTATGAAAACATGATCAAAGTTTCGCCAGCTCTTGAGAAACAAGGAATATATGAATTATCATCATATTTTATGTGTGAAAATATAAAATCACTTTCAAGAAACGTTTCAAATTATCATCAAAATCAACTTGTTAGGTATACGAAACAACGACAGATTAATTCATTTAGTAATTTAGGACGAATCTTTGGAATAATTGAAGATGACAAAAATATAGAAGAATGTGTTACCTACTCTCTTGATATGTAAAATATTTAAAAATTGCATAAAAATTCATTGAATTTCGATACCACCATAAAATTAATAATAAAATAAAAATAAACTTGACAAAATTCTTGTGAAAGATATCACTAGGCCATTCAACAGGGTGTGACCATCAAACATTCCTCAATTTGTATTCAAATTCACTCTGATTTAATATGACCGAGAGATATATTCTGTGTTAATTGACCTTGACAGCATGAAAATCGTTCGAAAATTAGTAACGCACAATATCAGATTAATTGCCTGTTCGTGGTCAATAAAATAGAAGTTTTTGAAGACTAATTTGGTCAAGATAGATAGTTTGGAATTCGTTCACCACTGAGTCATTTTTCTACAAGGATTTTCGATCAAGTTCCTTCATCATTCCAAATCAAATCGAAATAACCGGAATTCAATGTGATTGTTTACTACTTGAAATTTGTTTACAGTAGACAGTCACTTCAATGATGATGATAATAATCAGTAGTAGAGGTGGGCGATAGTGATTTTGGATTATCGATAATCGATAATCACAATATATCGATATCAACAAAATTGTCGCTATTATCGAAGTTATTAATGATCGATATTATCGATATTGTCGATACTTTTTGCATTAAGTACCCGAAAAGGAACATTAGGCGAGCTACGGGTAGGAATCGAACTATATACTACATTCCAAATTAGAAGATACCTCCTAGTACCCAGCGAGCACAAAAACATCTCAGAGATGTTAAAAGTACGAGATTTCGAGACATTGAACCTCCACTGCGATGTTCTGTTCACACATGAATAGAACTATTATAGAACAGCCAATGTCCGCCGCAGGCGGCAATTATCGAGATGTCCTCGATATGTCACAAAACTACCTTCTCCCTAGTACTTTTTAAAGCCTTTTCATAGACACAACAAAACATTTTCAACGCGCGCGTCTTGGGCACATTAAACCGCTGTAAAAAAACCATTTACAGGTAACTAATTATTCCTCTGGTATATGAATGAAAACATGTATTTATTCTTCCACGAGCACATCTTCATAGAAAAACAACTGTACTACTGTTAAAAGGTGTTTTTGCAATTTAGAAAAAAGCTGGTATAAAACCACTTTTTATACCTAACTCTTAAAGACGACACCCTCCTTTGTAGAGAGGCATTACGAACGCCAAAGTTGATACACTCCCCTCGTGAGGGTACCTGGCGTGATTCCATACACCAACTTACGAAATAGTCTACTAATATTCGACTATTTGAATTAATGAAATGGTGCAAGAAGGATTTGAGTTTTTTCACGAAGGTTGCTCAAAAAACTATGAAACTATCTGTATCTGACGATCAACAAAATTTAACAGTATTGGAAACTCATCTTAATGATCCTTTTTTATCATTCATCCATCTTGAAAAGCGTTCTCAGATGATGAGTTCTGAAGTATCCTACGAATGAAAGGATTTTTGCAAAACCATGTTCTGAGAAATCAGGTATGATTTACGTTTTTCCTAGAATATCCTGAAAAAAAATTGGATTAGTATTTTTTTCTCAATCATTCTTGAATAATTATTGTGAATCTTTACTTACTCCATATATTATTCATTCGTACTTATCTGTATGAAATTATGGGTCTATCCATCTATATAGTCCGTCTCCAGGAGAGAACAAAAAAACTGTATTGTTATTCAATAATTTGAATAAACTCTGCCGTGATTCCATACACTAAGAAACAAAGAAGTCTACCGATCCTTCGGCTGTTAATGAGATATTCAAATGAATTGATGAAAGCTGCTCAAGAGTAGTTCCAATAAGAATAGCTGCTGCAATGCTGCTAATAATTGTCGTAGATATTCTTTTTCATTCACCTCCATTTGTCAAGTTGTACTCAACACTACAGGTGAAACTGAATGAAGTATCATTAAAAAATCAAGGATATTATTTGGTCTAGTATGCTTGATTCAAATCAAAGGTCATAGATCTCTATCGACTTGTTAGTTATATCAATAAGAATTCATCATTTCTAGGAAGTCTAAGCGGCAATTGACAAGCATTATCTCTGAAAAGGAAGTTCGATATCATTTGTACCTACCAAGTAGCCAATATACAGTGGGAGCATAAGCCGACAGATTTTAGGGAGGGGTCAATATATATAATGACATAATGATAATATATTATTAAAGTATCAAGGAGTGGCTAATGGAATAATTTTTTTCCATGGAATTCTATTTACAGGGCAGAAATGCAGGGTTATATCAAGAAAAATGTTCCACAAGAATGAAATATGGACATAATACAGTGTCATTTTATATCTGCCAAACTTTGATGGGCCATAGTTTGGCAAGAAGAACGTCCAACTGTATTTCACATTGAAATATCAGTAAAAATATTAAAATATGTTTCATGCTAGCATTAATTTTCACACTCATCTGATTAATATTGCAAATATATAGAAAAAAATCCGTTAGGTATATATGCGTTCGATAAATATACCTTACCTATAATAAAATGAAGAAAACTATGAATTATTCAACAACATATGTTGTCCATTAGCGTATTTCAGCATGATTAATATATGTTTTGACAGGTATAATTGATATTATTGAAAATGAAGACAAGAACTATAGGCCAATTTACCTTGATTGTAAGAGAATGCAGATTTAGATTATATAAAATCTGTGCTATACCAAAGTTATAACTTTCACAGTATTGAATAATTAATTTTTTTCATCTGAAATAAAACCGAGGGTATCCATATTCCAAAGCTAATTTATCTAAAAAATTTTTGGTGCTGAGCTCTCTTGCAAAATA